ACTTTATTAGAGTCCTTCGACGACGACGACAAGAAGCCGGAATTCTCCTGCCAAAGACCGCAAATATTTTGCCAGTTTACACGACTTATTTAGCAGTGGCGGATCAAAGGGGGTTCCCCTAAAGTCACAAGCGTCCTTTGATTGATTGAGCAGAGCCCCGGGGACCGAGGGACCCAAGTGAAAAAACAAGCCAAGAAAAGGAAAGCTCAAGTCAAAAGGTTTTTTGTTAAGCAAATTGTGGCTGGCATTGTGAAAGGCTTTCCCTGAGAGTTGGGAGAAAAGGAAGCAGAGGCCTGACATTTTGTATTCGATTGTGAAGGGATTTGTAAGGGGATTTCAAATGTGCAGGGAGAGAGAGAAAAAGGGGGGAGTTTGCAATACAGTGTGGTCAACGATAAACTAAACATGACAGCTATGGAAAGTTACACTAATTTGACTAAATATTTCTCCTAACTTCGAATGAGATCTACAAGGATTTAATATGAAATTTTATAAGCCGGTTTGGAACTAGACCTAATTGGGATTTTTTATAAAATGCAAACAGTACACAAAATGGCTTTCTTTTTTACTCGAGTTCCACTGTATCTTCCTCCCTGAAAACTGTTGCATAGTTTCAGGCTCATCACTTCTTTATCGATAAGAATTTCGCATGCAATTTCTGCTTCTTTCTTTCATTCCTACTTTTTTTTCTCGCTTGCCTAAGCACATTTATTCGTTTTGTCTGACAACCTTTTGGCAAAGGAGAGGAGTGTGGTGAGGTGGGGAAAATTGGGAATGACTATCATCAGCACCCACACAGAAGAAAAGCTCAGTGCAAGGAAAATCTCCGCCCGGCAGCCAAAAACATAAAACTTTGCACATTCATTGGGTTTGCTTTTGCAAGTCTTTTGGTTTTTTTCTCTCTTTTTTGTTGAGACAGTTTTGCAGTAGCAGGAAAATTGTGCGCTTTTTTAATTTAATGAAAATTTTCCACTTGGTCGATTGACATTTTCTCTGTTCTTTGTCGCACCTACTACCTCCCGCCAAATTGTGGGTGTTGCAAGCAAAGTTTCCTCTGAGGTTTTGGCAAATAAACACACAAATTTACTTAGCTGCTGGTGGGTGGGAAAATTTTCGGTGGAAAAGGCATCGCTGCATACTCTGCGGCGGCTGGCGCGCAACTTTTATCATTTTGCCTTTGTTTGGAGCGTGTAATCAAATGCATATTTGCATGCCACTCTTTCCCCCGGTAGCCCTGCAGCGAACTCCTTAAGCTTTTTGCCTTTTGTATAATTTTCTGCAAGACTTGCGAAAAACTTGCAAAGGCGGCAAAAGTTTCCTCCCATTTAAGCGCACAGAAGTATACAATACGAGGCCCCCGATAAAGGGAACATCGAATGCACACTGATGGAAAATACTTAATTTTAGGGAGAAGTTTGAATATTTAAGGATATGAGATATATATTAGCAAGAGTTTGCAGATGTCTTAATTAAAAAACTTAATTTGAAAAATTAAAAATACTTCACTAATTTGATATTTATATTTATGATATTATCAGGTTAAGGTTTCTTACTTAATGAGGCGTGTTTTTAAAATATTCCCTAAAATATTGAAGAACTCTTGAAATGTTTAAACTTTTGCCATTAAGACCAGTGTGCACTATAAGAGGGCTAAGATCAAGAAGGGATGCAAAAGCGATTGAGGCGACTATAAACTCAATTAGCCAGCCCCCCGGACTCTGGATGACGGCCATAAAAGTGTTGAAGGAATCGAAATGAACTTGGGCAAATGTCATTAGGGAAACTGGCAGGGGAGAAAAGGCGTTGCATGCGCACATTAAATGTTATTAACGCATTTCGCCTTTGTTGCTGCAGTTCAATAGAATGGTTATCTAATTTGAGATGAAAAGCTAGAGGAAATTGTTGCCACATTTGTGTGTGGAACGAGAGATCATCATTCCCCAACATTGTGACGTGACAATTGACTGGAACACGTAGCGGAAAATTCTGCAAATCGTTGTGCAGGTTTAAAGCGCGAAATCCTTCAGCGAAAACTGCCTGAAGGTACGAAAAGTGCAGCAGCATTTACATTCATCATCATAAGTCACTGCCCGGACACAAATGAAATGAAATATTTGCCAAGGTGCAAGAGATAGTCCAGGATACTACTACTACTGGTTTTTGGAAACCTGGAGAGAGTAGGTGGTGGCTTCGCCAAATAGAGCCATTGAGCTAAGCCGGCGGAGGAGCAACACAACAAAATGCATCCTCCGGGAATCGGGATCCCGGGGCTGAGCAGGAATTTTCACTTCCCCCAACTAATGGCATCCTCTGCAGGACTACTCGCTGGATGCAGCGCGGCACTCACGTAGAGGAGCTGCTGCTACTCCGGCATATTTAATAAACTCTCGCAAATTAAGCGGCAGCGCGGAGAGGGCGCCATAAATCAACAGGTAAGAGGTGAGCGTGCGTCCACCTGGGAGAAGGCTACTTCCTCCAACCAAAAGGTTGCAGTTCATTAACATTAGTAGCCAGCCAGCGGAATTTCAGAGGCAGAAAGGGGCAAGGACCTTTGCCAAATAGAGATTAGTTTCGAACCCTTTGGCGGTGCAAAAATAAATATTTGTTTAGAATTACTTTCTGAAATTTGAGATATAATTAATGCCTTTTAATTTTGAAACTTAAATAATATAAAACTCTTGACGACTTTAAGAAACTAAATGCTCATCTCAAAAAAGGATTCACTAACTTAGAAGGTTAAAAACCTTAAGCCTATGTAGCCAAGTGATGATGGATATCCACCAAGCTCAAGTTTTAAGCCACCTGTTGGACAGGACAGACTGCAGCTTGGAAAGTAATTTATTTGGCAGCTCTCAAAGGAAGTTGCCAGCAGTTCCTGTTCAAACTTCAAGTCAGCCACATCCGGCGCAACTTTAAGCCGCATTTCCGCTCATGCAATTTTAATTTGTCAAATGCAAGAGAGAGAGAGACGCGACGCGAAGGATGCCGGGGATGCGGACGATGCTAAAATTAACTGGAAAATTTTACAATCCTGGCGAGGCAGGATTACGAAGCAGGCAGCAGGAGTCAGTACGCTGCCGAAATGAGGATGCCGTCGAGCCACTCGAATTGGACCATTAGTTTCGACGGCATTAGTTTGGCGCTTTCATGGCCCAGACGATGCGAATAAATAAGAGACGAGCAGCGGGACGCAGATGGAGTTGGAAATGGATGTAGCTGTAGATATGGAGAAAGGATAGGGAGCTGGGAGCTAGAAACTAGGAGTTCCCAGGAGCACGAATGGACCACCGTCGATCCCCTGGTGGACTTATGCATGTAATAAAATGCGGCGGCGTCGGCATCGGCAAACTGCAACAACCCGTGCCCAGCCACGCCCCCAAAACGCCACTTTTGCCGCGAACTAAATTTAAGTGCATTAACATAAAGCGGTTTCAAGACAGTGGTATGGAATATGAATGAAGTAGCTTAGAAAATTCAATTAAACTAGGCACTTTGAGCCCTCAGATTTAGAGTTTTCCCTTTGATACAGAGTTTTCCTTGAATTATATTCAAAAAAAATTATTAAGCTTCCAAAATGTTGTTTATTAAAACTACAATTTCTTCTTGAATTATCAATTCAGAATTATCAAAAATCTCAACCACAGTGCATGACAGCCCGAACAAGATAAATAAACTTTTGGCGAGGCAACTGGTCTGAGTTCTCCTCAAAAAAGGAGGCGAGGTATCCTAAAAAGAGGGAGAGAGCTTCAGGGTGGAACCGCTCTGATGAGTGCAACGACTTTGGCAGCAGCGTTAAGCGTCAGCATCATCGACACTTTCGGCAGGAAGCGCTGGCGGGCCGGGCTCAGACATACCATATAGAACGTATAGTTTAGTTCAGGACATGGCCAGGAAGCGCTCGTCTGGCTGGGAGTGAAATCCCTCGAGCTGTGGCTGGATGTGTGTGTGTGGCCCCGGGTGTGTGTGAGACATTAACAGACTCGTAAACTGGCAGTTGCTTGTTATGTTGATTACACAAGCAGCTGAGAGCGTGGGAGAAAATAGAAATAAAGTTGCACTTGAAAACTGCAAATGCTAAGCAGCATTTAAGGTGTTATTAAACAGCTTCTAAATAAACATAATCTTAATATTTAAAAAATTTAAGGACTCAAATGGAAACCCAAAGAAGTTAAAGTCATAAATCAACAAATGTAGACATCAACTGATAGCTTAAGGACAGGAAAAGGATTAATCTATCAACGATCATTTTTGATTTAATCTTGATCATAAAACTTTGTATTGTTTTAAAGCCTATTTAGTAATACTGCTTTTACTTAACGTTTTAAAGTCACCTCGCGTAGGCTAGCCCCTAAAAAGTATGCAACACTTGGCGCCACGCCCCCCCACGCGTACGTGCCTGTCAGGGATCACACCAGCTCCTTGTTGCCTTATTCCCTGCCGAGAAACAAGTGTCAGCTGCCCTTTAGAAGAGCCGCGAAGGAAACACAACCAGAAACAGAAACTCTAACTGAAAACTGAAAACGGAAAATGGGAAACTAACAACAAACAAGCAGTAGCAGGAACAGGAGCAGGGGGAAAGCAGGAAAGGAAGTTGGCTTGTGGCAAGAGTTGAAAGTTGAATGTCTGGCAAATGCCGCGGCAATGCCCCCGAATGCAAGTCAGTGCAAAATGCAATTCCCACCCTCGCCATTGCATTGAATTTTCCAAGGGAAACTTTTCACACGCAGCCAAGACCAAATCTGCCAAAGCCACTTTTCGGTATTGTTTTTTGTTGCTTTTCACAAATTTATTGCCACACTCTTGGGCTCCCCACCTACTCCCTTCACAGAGAAACCGATCCTGGGCTTTATCTCTCCGCTGTCTGTCTGTCAGAGGATATTTATCTGGCACGTTAAGTTTACTTTTGCCCTACCCCTACCCCCATCGCCTTGAATCCACATATTTTTCCAGTGCTTTTCCCCCCCGAATTCGTTTCATAATTTTTCGCCTCGCGGCCAAATTGTCGTCTTTATTTGCAGCATGGAAATGCTGCTGCTCGAACGCAATTTCCCAGCTACATTTCCATTTCCATTCCATCGAGCTGCAGGAAAATGGTAAACGCTGCGCCCTTTGTGAGATTTTCCCCGCATGACATTTGCGATTTTCCGCACATTTTGTACTTTATTGAACTGTTTGTCACATGACGTTTAGTATTTTGCGAGCTGCGCCAGCTGCAGGCAAAAATGCTCGCAGATATACTCGCTCACATGAGTACAGTGTAAATTTGAAGGGAAAACTACTAGTAGAAGGACCTTTAAAAAAGGAACTTTCATTAAGGTAAATTCTCTGTAATTGTTGAGATGTTATTTAAAGATGAAAACATGTTAATAACACTCTAGTTTCTAATTTTAATAAATAAAATAAGAATACAGCTCTACAAATTCCCCATATTCCCACAGTTTACTGTCATTGGCTGCCCATCATCATCATTGAATTTTCATAAACGAAAAAAGGGGTGTTTTGATGGAGCCTTTAAAAAGGGGGACCACCGACCGACCGACCAAACGACCGACCGCCAGCTGACCCCCTTATTACTAAGCCATGTAAACTTGATGAAAATCAAATGGAAATAAAAACGGACAGCACTCATAAACAATAATATGGCGAGTGCAGGCAAGCAGCAGCTTTCAAGGAAAACTTTCAAGAATCCAGAGAAAAACGCGAAGCACACAACTTAATAAAAACAAAAATGTATGAAATACTTTTACGACTTTCGAAGACATTTTTACAACTTGCTGGCAAGTTTTGCTAACGATATGCGAGATGCAGCGAAAGAGGAGACTCCGCCAGCCGGACAGGATAGGAGGCAGCTGCATTCCGGGGGACCGCGTCCTGGTCAAATGGATACGTCGCATCATAAAACCGAAAGTCATTTCGCACAGAACGTGTCTACAGCAAAGTCATGGGAACGGGAAATGTCCGGCCAAGAAGCCAAAGTCATCGCAGCCAATAATAATTCCAATTGTAGTGCAGTGACAATTTTCCGTCTATTCTGTCCATCGTTGCTCCTTGGCTGCAAGGAAGGAGATGCTCTCTTTTGGGCACTTTTGGGTACAATGTACCCCGAACAATGGTCAGCAGAAGAGCAACAGCAGCAGCAGCGGAGTTTTTATTGCCCCAAGCTCTGGCATTTTAAGTGCAGAAAGCCAACGAAGCAGCAGCAGCATCGGCAGTGGCAACATTATTTGGTCAATGTAGACGACATGACGCGGCCATTAAGAGCAACAAATAAGCAAACAATAACTAGGAACCGCGCCCAGGATGAGCTTGGGAGAAATTAAGAAAAATGCTTAAGATGGCTGAGAAAACGGAAGGCTTCCCATCCTTTTGATAATTTGACTTGTCTTTACACAGTAAGAAAAACTGAATGGATATCATGTGTTTTGAAAAGAAAATTCCGATAAAATATCGAACAAAATGTATCGGATGAAGTGTAAAATATCGAAAAATTTCGTACTCTACGTTTAATGATTATCAAAATATATTAGAACATTTTATTCTATTCTATTTTCTATTAACCCGAATTTTCTTATCAATAAAACCTTCAGTATAATGAGCCTCAACCTTGCATTCCTGTACTAAAATATTTTTTTTAAAGCTAACTAGCTATTATCTAGAAATTTAAGTCACTAGAAGTTGCCATTAATTATCTACCTAAGCATATGTCAAATGAACATGAAAATAAGGCTCTTTAGTGGATAATTCTGTTAATCAGTTAAAAGAATGTTGAATATTCCCGCTTAAAATATTCATACACAAATTAATCACAAGCAATTACTGCTTGCCAAAATCGATAAACAAAAAGTTAATATCAATATCAACGCCAATGATTAATAATAATATTTATATTTGAACGATAAATACTTTTTTATGCAAACTGACTTGATAAACCCTGTAACATTTCGTTCTCTGTGGGCAGACACATTTATCTATCGATCGAGTTGGATATTTCGGGTGCGATAAAGATACTTTTGGCTTATGAAAATTGATTGCAAATGAGCAGGCGGGCTTTGGCTGCGACTTCGATTGCTAAGCAAGATGACATAGCTGGATTAAATAGATTCGGGCAGAAAAGAATGTGCTACGAACAAATAAACAAGGCTACACGCTACTAGGAAGTATAATTGAATCACCAATAAAAACTTCTTGATAAATTAAATGATAAAGATATGAAAAAAAAAGACTAGATAGAGCTGAACTGAGATTTCAGCTGTCTCGCTGCTGCCCTGACCAATTCATTCAGTTTCGCAAAAGCTAATTAGCAACTAAAGTGAAATTAAAGCAGAGCCAAGTCAAGCCAACGACTAATGGTCTTTGTGTTGCCGGCCCTTTGGGAGGAGAAAAGAGCGGAAGGAAGGTGCTACAACTAATTAAATGCAATAAGCTATGGCAACTGCTGGACGTGAACAGGAGCCGGGACAGGTTCCGCCGGACGAGTGACAACTTTGTTTTGATGTGCCGGGACTCTTCCGGCATCCAGCGACAACCCCGAGCGTGTTTTAATTTGCACATTAAAGTAATTAGTTTAGCATTAGTTAGCTGCAGTTTGTTTTAATGAGTCGCGAGTTTTTTTCGTAGGGACTACGGACAGCTCACTCACCGCTCTTGAAGGTGGCCATAAGGCGTTCGGAATCAGCTCCATGTTGGCAGACAAATAAAGATGTATCGAGCAAATCGCTGGGCGAGTAACCCAACAAGCCATGCATCCTGAAATATCAAAAATAAAAAGAGTTAGCAAGTGTTGACAGACTGTAAAAGCTATGCTCCAAATTCTAATTTAATTTCAACTTAAAATTGCAAAAGAAAATTTAAATCGGAGCACAACTAATTCAATATGAATCCTACTTGTCATCCACATAGGTGAAACGCATATCCAGCGAGTGCTTGGTAAGGAACGTGCTGGTTCCCAAAGGTATCTCAATGTTTGAGGGATGGGGTATGGGTCTTCCCACGGCGATCAGCAGGCGTTCGCCCTTGGCATTGATCACCAAGTGTCCGGTAATGTGAATGACCTATAAGTAGTACAAGTATAAGTGGTGATACGATAGAAAGCAAGCAGCAATCATAATAATAACAAAGTAAACAAGGTTTATTGTTATTATTTTGATTACAAATGATTACAAATCACCTTGTAGGAGGCGCTCTTGATGTTAATGCTGCGTCCACGATTGGTCAGGGTGCACTTTAAGCGCACAAACAAGTCCCTGTGATGGGTGGTAACCCCAGCATCCTGCAGCTGCTCATCCTTGACCTTGGCGGCAATCTCCCGCTTGAGGCTAAGGGCCTCCTTGATCTCGGCGTGATCGCACTGATGCGAGTACTCCCAGATCTGTTGGCCAAGAGTGTCGATCTGTAGAAGATCAGGAAAGAAGTTATTAATATAGATTTATTTTTTAGTAATTAAAAATACTTACTTTGGTGATGCCCAGATACTCGACCACATTCTCAGTGACATAGGTAATATCTCCCTCGTGGGACAGTACCAGCAAAAAACCATCCATGGTCTGCTTCAAAAGCTGACTGGCTTCGGCTCCATTGAGCCAATCCTCGCTACCAATTTCCAGCTTGGGCTTGACTTCCTGCTGCTGCTCTTCCACAGCATCAATGTCCTGCTTAATGTCATTGCATTCGCGCAAACTGGGAACTAAAGGAAATTCATAAGTAAACTTAATTAAATTTCTATAAAAATTAAATTACTTACCAAACTGCAGCATCTCGCGAATCTTTAAAAACGCAATGGTTATCCTCATCACAGAGGCCTTGTCCAGTTGGTTGACATCGTCAGTTTTCAGGGGCAGAGCCTGCGAGAGTTCCATGAAAATCTCAGTTTCCTTAGAGCGACGACACCTGGCCGCATCTCTGGATTTTTCCTTGCGCTTCTCATTGTTCCTGCAAAGATCATGGACAAATTTGTATTATTTGCTGAGATCACGTAGGCAGGCCAATGTTCAGAGGCAGAAAAGGGAGGGAATACGAGGGAGGCTGGCAGAAATATGCGTGCATTTCAATTGCACTTTCATTCCCGTTTCATTGCTTTTGATTCAATTCACGCGGCCAAAGCCAGCAATTTTCCAATTAAATGAGCACCGCCTGCAATTTTCGCGTTTGCTGCCCGGCCAAGCGAAAAAAAAAATAGAAGCGAACAAGCGAAGGCGATCAACACGGCGCCAAAGTTCATGGCAGCTATGTATTTAAGAAGGCTTTCTATGTATTATTACAGGGATATTTAAGATAGTGAATTAATTAATGAATGATTGTTATTACAAAATCAAAAAATAGGCTACTCTTCCGCCTATACCCAACTTCGACCTGATAGAAGTATTTCCAATGCCAATCTGTCCAGCTAGTGAAAGCAATATCACTTCCTGCTGAAGAAATTGATAAACAATGTCAAGTAAAAGGCTGTCTTCTTCACCTTCGTTCTCCTAAGGAATATTTTGCATAAATCCATTATTCATTATACATTGTCTGTGAGGATCCTGACCTACAACGGCGCCCCCCTTGGGAAAGCTGTCTGAAGAGCTGTCCGAAGAGGGCCCCCGGGGGGCTTTGGATAGTTTATAATGTCAGCTTTTGGGTTCCGAGAATAGCCAAGCAGTCACACGTTCGCCTGATAAAGTTCGCCTTGGCACCAATATTAATATCTATAATACAAAGTTGAAGACATTTTGGAAATTTCGGAATATTATGCCTGGCGAGACGATTGACGAAACTCCTCACCTGCACCACCTGCCCCGATGAGTTGGCAATTAGCGTCTTTGCAGAGTTGTGAGTAAGCCCCATTAAAGCCCGGGGGATTCGACTCGTTTCGATATTGGCGACAAGTTTTAATCGCTAAACAAGCAAAGAACTAATTCGCATACGCTTCTGCGGCAGAGCACTGACCTCACACACATACAGACACTATCAATTTATATATACGTAAGTATATATTTTGGGAAATTCTAAGAAAAGACGAATGACCCTCCCTCGGGAACGGAGGAAAAGTATAGAAAGTTTGCCAAGAAAATCTCGTGAGCAGCCACACATGTGATGGAAACTAATTCGGAAATTTATGCAGCAAGCTATAATATTTTATTTATTATTGAAATAGAGGGCAAACTTGTATAATCCGTGGGACACGCCACTTTTTGCACGTACTATACTGGGCTTGGGTTGACATAAAATCGCCAACTCTGCATTAATCGTCAGGTGTTTTTCGTTGCTGAAAATTCGCATGGCAACCGCAAACTAAAATTCAAAGCATTTTTATATAGATTTTTTCAAGACCTAAGTATCACCTGTCAACAAAGGATATCGGACGAACAAAGGGGCAGACTATCAGCCGCCTCAGACAGGGGAATCTGGACTCTTTTGAGTGATGTTTACGTCAGTCCAAAGGCTGTCCAATAAAGGCTTAAAAATACCCCTTTGGGAAAGGGTATTTCAGTTAAATCAAATTGTAACTCACAATCACTTTACTGATTGCTGTATAATTAAATAAAGTGTGAAATTGCCAATCAAACTATAAATGCTTGCTTGAATAGTTGCATCAAGTATGTGCCACTGACAAGTTTACAAATTACATAGCAGACCAGTTGAACGGCCGCACTCAACCATTAGAGGTTGATTTATAAAATTATTATTATTAAAAACACAACTATTAGAGGTTGATTTATAATAGTATTATATTAAATACAGGGTGAGGAATTTAAATGATATTTGTACCACATATATAAGCTTTTAATTAAGAAAATCTAAAAATAAATATCAGAAGTTTTTAATCTCTAAAATGAAGCATTATAATTTAACCAGGAACCCCATGTTCTTGTTAAAAAAAGAACAAAGCTTTGGCTTTTGGTTTCACATTTTTCCAACAAGCAAACAAAGCGAGAAAGAACCATACATTGGGATAATAATAATAATATCACAGAAAGAAACCGAGATAAGGGGGGTTTTCATTGTCAATCAAGACTGAATCGACTGATTGATAGAAACCAAGCAAACGTTTGAAAACAGAACTCAAAAGGCGGAATGCAGCCAGCCAGCCAGCCGCTTAGATAACTTACATACATAGTATTGTATTATTTCACCCGCTATATATACAATATATAATCATAGTGCACACAATAACAATCTTAAAGTTTGTGTTTATATATAAACCCATGTGCATTCATAAGTAATGTTTGTGCACAGAAATACGATAATCAGCGACGGGCCATAGAAAGCGGCTTAGAGCGGCTTTGATTGCATGCTAATGGCCTGCTTAAATGGAGTGATCGAGGGGTTTTATTTTTTATTTTTTTTTTTTTTTTTTTTTAGCCAGGGGATGTGCGATCGGGCCATTGTCTGTTCATTAGAACAGAAGCTACACAACTATGGCTTGTTAAATATTCTGGCGGTGCCAGCAGAATTGCCTTGTTATTGGCCAGCAGCTGCCGTTGTTGTTGGTAAGTATTTCCGCTCCGAAGCGCAGCTCAGACTTTGGCCAAAATCCAAGTCAGAAACTGCATAAATTTGGCTAAACAATAAAACATTGGAAATTTCTTTAAATAAAAATATATATAATTTTGTATACCCGTTTAGGAGCCACTTTCATCCTTTCGTTTGTTTGGTTTGTTAACTTTCAACCCCAAAATTTTGATATCAAATCAAATCGAAGTTAACAACAAATCTAGGCACTGATTAAAACCAAAAACAATAGGTATTTAAGGCGCCAGATAACGCAACTTTATAAATTAAACAATGATTAAATAAAAATATTCTAGGATTACTTCACATCAAGACTTATTTTCTTATTTTTTTCTCGCTCTTTATACCTATAATATAAACCTATAAAAGGACTTCTTTTCAAAAGCAACAAAGAATGTTTCCCCAGTGCAGATAAACCCCAAAATAAACCTTGCCACGATTCCATCACGTGGACAGCTTTCACAGCTTATCCCTCAGACACCTTAGGATGCTGACCTGCCTCCGGAATTTCGAAACTCTTAGCCAAATGCGCCGTATCTCCGGGGCGCGATATCAGCGAAAACATTTGAGATACGTCTCAAGGTGTTAATGCCAAGTTCATGGGGCAGTAAATCAGGGGTCAGGGATGTTTGGTTTGGCCCAACATAAATCTGGGCGGGGGAGTCTTTGGGGTTTGGACTTTCTTGCGGAGCGTGTGCGTCAGTTTAGCTTTGACTCTCATTAGCATGGAAATGGGCAGTCGCAAATTTGGCATAAACGTGTGCAAAACGTAAATAAAACGCAAACCTGGCGACCATTAAGTTTCCGTGCACGTTGCATGCTAAGTTTTTTGTCGGACAAGGAAGCCGGCGAAAGGGGGGACCGTAATCTGCGTCAATCGTTAGGGAATCGCTTGTTGATCAATACGTATTTATTCAATACTCCAGGAGACCTTTGTCGGCCGCGCCACGTGAAGATAAACCTCTGGGAAATACCCAACATAAAGTCATCGTTGTCAGATAACAATTACACAACCGAACGACAGCCAAACAATTTTAAACTTTTATAAACAATATTGGGGCCATTAGGAAATCAAAAAGAGAGCGAAAGTCTATTTCAGAGCGGCCGATATATGATAAAAAAGAAAAGAAAAGGGTATTTTTGCTGGGGGAAACCCAGAGAACCTTGACTCATTCAAGTCCCCCACCTCTCTCCCACTCACTCCTATCTGCCTCTGCGTATCTAAATATTATTATAAAAAACGATCCACAAATAAGCATAGATAACAGCCCTGGCGTTTACTTTGGCTTTTGGCAACGGGCTTTACAAAACCAGGCACAACCAATTTCAACAGGTGAAAAAATATAGTGAAAATAGGGGAATAGAATTCTTGAAAATTATTTAAATGGGTTTAACATGGGAATATTTAGAACACATAAGAGGCTTAGGCTTGGTAAAAAGGACGTTAAATTGGAAAATTGTTTGGAAATTATAAGGAACTTTTTTAGAACTTGTTCCAGGATCTTTTTAAATTATTTAGCTTATGAAACATTTTAATACGTTGTTTCAATAAACACGCAATATTAAAACAAAGTAAACCTTTTATAAACCTTTGTTTGTTTGCTTTATAAACTCGACAGAAATTACGCAGCAGAGTTTCCTTAGTTGCACTCACATAAAGTCCTCGATGTCCACGAATTGGGAGAACTGGCAAGGTTGGGTGTTGGTGGGCGCGTAGCCGTAGCAATAAGCATAGCTCCAAGGTCGGGTCTCCCGGCATGGTGTTGCCACGGACAGAAGGCTGCCCCGTTGGCCATAGAAGGCCTCCTGCTGGGGGTGCTGCTGATAGGGATGGTAGCGATGCATTCCATAGGAGGCATTGGGCCCCAAAATGGCGCCCACAAAGGGTCGGGGGTTGGGTTGGGGTGGAGTCTGGTAAAAGGCTCCATTGTTAAAGTTCACAGAGGGTTCATTGATAGGAGCACGACCGTAGGCTGAGACTGAGCCATGGTTTAGCTGCTGATGCTGTTGCTGTTGCGGTTTCAGATCACTTTCGTAGAACCCGGAGTTGGAGGTCAGATCGTCGCCGTAGAAGGAACTGTCGCCGGGACAGGAAAAATCACAGGTATCCCAGGAATTAAACATTGCTTGCGCCGTTTCTTTCGCTGGAATCCGGCTAAGCCCATCGATGATGGCCACACACACGCGTCCCGATAACAGCTGATAACTTGGCTATTTAGTACGAGCAACTTGAAAGTAACAGAACAAGACGTCCGGGAGTTCGAGCCGTAAATGCGCGAAAGGTTCCATGGGTTTGAGGCCATCATATTTATACCCGGACAGCCAGCAACCAGCTATCAGGCACCATAGGGAACCATAGGAATCGCAAAGAGCGAAGAGAGCCGGAGAGCCAGACATTAACGTCAGATTCGTGGACTATCATCGGACAAGTTTGCCTGCCTATCCGGACAAGTGCGCTCCGTAGCGGAGCGATAAGATAATGGCCCGGGTCCGGGCCCAGAGTCGAAAACATTCAGGCCGCAGGGAGCTAACGCTTCGGTACGGCCCAATCGGGGGCGATAACGGCCGGTACCTATATGAGTGGCAGATTCAAATTAGATGTATATAAATTATGTCAGTGCGCTCCACTTCAGCCGATAATTATGGCGAATCGCATAGCATACTTTGCAGCTCTTCGCCAAATAGCTGCACGTCCTGGACTAATTTTCCGGTCATTTCCATTACCCACCAACTGCAGTGCACGTATAAATGCAGATTATAAATTATAGATATATATCTAACAATGGAAAAGGTTGGTAACTTCATCAAACAGAAGTCTTAATACCCTTGTAGCTATAGAGCATCTTTTATATTTTAAAATATCGACTTTAGGTTGAAATATTTTAACAAAATCAAATTTAGAAAATAATCATTTCGGGAGATCTTTTTAAAGTATTCCATCATCTTACGTGCCTTAAAATAAATAAAGTAATCAGCCATATTTCTTTCCCCAAAATAAAAATACCCTGTGCAAGAGCAAACTACTATTTTGATGACTAAATATTTTCGCCACCAACCTCTGAGATTTCCCCGATAAGAACTATAGCATAACAGTTAAATATTTAGATTAGTTGGCAAACAGGCGAGGAAAGTGAAATGAGATAACAGCGCGGAACAGAAGCGCTAGCTTCCCATCCAGAAGGTAATAAAAACCACAATGTAATCAGCTCGAGGAAAGAAACTGAGGCGATGGACAGCCGGGGTCAAGTTAAAATGTCAGCAAATGGAAGATGATAACCTCTTTGTTTGCCTTTTTATGCTACAAACGTCTGTCTATCTGAGGAGGCTCTTTATAGAAACCCTTTTTTTTTTTGCGGAAATTTTAAAATAATAATAACAGACAAAACTTTGAAGATTACTTATTTATTATATTTCTTTATTTTGATCTTGGCATTTTGCTTAGCTACAAGATACTCCCAACAAAAATGATCACTGTAACCGTCAGATCTTTTTGGCGCCATTTTATTTTACAAAAATATATTTTTAACTAAAGGCAGCCATAAATTTCCACTTTCTCTGCAAAAACAAAAATAAGTAAGAATCATAATTTACGCCAGATGGGATGCGATGCATATAGGGCCCATCATCATACTGAATGACTGAACCAGATTCGGAAGCTGCGTTGCCCTCGGTCTGCCTCTCTTCCTATAACTATATCTGTCTCTGTTGCTGCATCCCGTTCAATTCGATGCACAAGGAAAAACAGTTTATCGTTTAAGCTCTTTAAAAATTATAAATATATTTTGTAATATTTATTAATAATTATTCTAAAATATTAAAAAAAATCAAAGAAAATTTCCAAATAAATTCAGTATCCATATAACACTTTTTTTTATTTAAAAGAATACTACATTTCTTTAATAGCTTAATTTTTTACACTGTACTACAGCAGCAAAACAAAAATTTGTGTATGAAAATAAAGAGGAAGGCAAGAAGAAAACCAACAATACATAACTCCACAAGCCTAATATACAATACAATGCCAGCTCTCTTTCTTTCTGCCTCTCTGCCTCAATCTCTTTCTCTGTCACTCCCTTCAAAAATCCCTCCCCCTTGGGCGTTTCACACCTCCCCCCGTGTCGTCACATTTTTAGTTCGATTGCGCAAAAAGTAGGTCGTCGTGGCCAGACAACAAAAACAAACACAACAACAACAACATCAAGGCATATCATTTAAATAATTTACACACATGTAAGTATGTGTGCGTGTATGTAAGCGTGTTTGTTTTCGTTGGTATTGAAATAAATTTATAGTGCGAGTTTTTGTTTTTTCGTTATTTAATTTTTTTTATAGTTTTATTCATCGACTTCTGTGTGTTTTTTTCCTTGTTTTTCAGAATACCTTGGCACAGGTTCGACAGAGCAAAAAAAAAACTAATTTAAAAACAAACTATAAGTTTAACTGTCTGTAATAATTTACTTTTATAATACTGTTTAATAATTTACTGTTTAGGATCAGGGAGTTTTTAGCGAAAATAGGGTTTTTATTTTACTAGAAAAATGTGCGATTGTTAGATTTCAACTTCTTTATCATATTAAAATTTTAAATATATTTAAAAATATTTAAAGTTTAAATAATTTCAAAAATTAATATATGTAAAACATAAATTTTACAATTTAATTTCTCAATATTTTTATTTAACCATTTACTTTTTTTTCTCTGCAAAACTTTCCCTAAAGCTGGTCAATTTCACATTTTAGCCTAGTCGAAATCAATTGTTTACAGTGCTCACAAAAATATTTTGGAACCAGTTCGAGGTAAATGGGGAAAACTACCGCCAATAGTCAGTCGGTTAGTGGGTCTAATCGAAGTCAAATCGCTTGAAAATGGTTATAGAACCGCTTTTCAGCTTTTCGGCTATTAAACACATTGGCTTTATGGCTGTCACGTAGGCCAAAGCAAAGCATAGTTTCATTCCAATGTAAATGTCTTAAATTAAAACGTAAAAAAAACACAGTTTATGGTTTTATAAAACAAATAAATTTTGGGTTTTAAAAGGGGCGTAAGCAAAAATAAAAACGGAATCGAAAACAGAAGGAAAACAAAACAAAGCTGATAAAACGAAGCAAGAGGAATACAAAAAACTGGTTGCTTTTGGACTTAAGGGGAGCAACATAACAGGTTTTCCTTACTTTTTTTAATACGATTTTTCCCTCATTTAAAAATAACCCACAGTGCGTATGAAAACAGAAGAACAATGGAGTGGGCTAAAAATAAATCCAAGCCAAGGGGGCTTGGCCTTAATAACAGAGGACATGAACCCTTGAAGGATACAACTTCAAGGCGCGCAACAAGTGATTTGGATTGTGCACTTGCCTTCAATTGGTTTTTCTCAGATAAGGTTAACTTGTTTGGATTATTGTTAAGAAAGTTGTGATATGAAAAATATTAGTTTACTTATACATCAGGGGTTGGCCATACAGATATGCTTTTGGCAAGCCAAATCAAGGATGCAGATGCAGTGATCATCAGTGATCATAATACTGAAATATCCCTGAGCTTGCTTGTCCCACGCGTTTACCACTGATAAATATTTTAAAACCAAGGACTATCAAAAACATTGTTTTATACTTTCTTTGCAAGTGTTGTAAATAGTTGTCTACTCGTGTTACCTCTTTAATATTATATTCCATTGCGGAAACCCCAATGTGCATATGCAAACGGAGCGATTTCAGTTTTTTTTTTATTGCCAACTTGTCTTGACTTTTGTCTTTGAATCGCTGAAGGTCGTGGGTCTCGGTCGTTGCGTTCTCCGTCTCCGTCACAAGTTTGTATAATTACGGCGAATGCAAAAATTAGTTGAACGCGTGATTAATGATTGGCTTTTCGATATTTTCTATTCCCCCATTTGCTAGCTCTCCCTCTCTCTTTCTTCTCGTCTTTTTCGTCAGCCAGTGACGCCCATAAAGGGAAGCTAATGAAATCAAGCGCGGAATAAATTTAGTCAAAGAAAATCAAATAGATCCAGGAAAGGCTTTATGGTAATTATACTATATTTTCAGAATTGAAAAAGCGCTAGACTGGAATGATTAATATAGCAGGAAATAACCCACATCATTAGGGACTTGACACGAGTCTTCAAAAAGTTAAAAATCCTGAAAAGAAAAGCACCTTAGAAATGCAATCGAGGCGCCTAGAAAAATCTGAAGCGACTCGGAATACTTGTTGAAAACAAATTCCTCTCTAGGTAACGAGTTCATGAGTAAAGCTAGACACAAACAGTATGCAAATAACCTAGCGAATTTATAAACAAATGCTTCTGGAAAATTTTGATAAGTTTTTAATGGTAAAGTTGGATTAGGAATAGGAAATTATCCTAAAATGACAAGAAAAACATGGAATCACTATACGAAATATCTGATATTTTATGCCAAGATTAGGATGAACATTGGAATCTTAAATAGATAAGGCAAACCATCAGATAATGTTATTCTTTATCAATGATCCTTGAAGAATAAAGGTATGTATACCAGTTTTCAGAAGAAAATATCTGATACAAACATACATATGTGAGCTAAGAAAGTATTATAAGAATATGTTTCGGAAATTATAACATGTACCATGTATTAAGCTTCGTAATGAAAGCGCCAAATATAAGGCATAATATCCATAATCTAGCGCTCTCTTTAGATGATCATATGATCAATTAGGAACATTAACTACAATCTGTTTGACAAAAAAGAATGATATAATGCCCATAAGAGTGAAAAGCTTAGAAACCTCGCCTATTTGTTAGGCATATTATCTAAAAGCTGACAATAACTCAAAAGGATTGTTTACAAACATTATGGGCAATCCTTTTGGCGTTAAGTACGTTCCATTGATGATCCCACAGCTTGGGAAAAGTACGAAATACGAGACCTAGAAATTAGAGAAGACACGCAGAAAAGCGCGATAGCAACAAAAGCCGCTTCGCCGCAGCAGCAGCAGCAGCAGTAGAAGCAGTAGCGAAGAGGAGGCAGAAAAAGAAAGCAAACGCTTATGCAATAGGCAAAAAAGCAATTGATCTAAAATATATTCGAGGGATCGCAATGGATATGGTCACAGTGTAATTTGGGTTGCATTCCACTCACCTTCGTTTCTCCTTTGGCTTTCCGCTGGCCGTGAGATTGGATTTGGAGGCCGAGGAATCGGAGGAAACAGGAGAGGCCGATGATGAGGCCGAGGAAGATGTTGAGGTGGATGCAGCAGCCGCCAGTTGCTTCTGCTTCTCGGCTGCCGCATCGATTGTATCAATTAACGAAACCATTTTGTCGCCGGAGATCAAAATGCAGCAGCATTCAAAGATCTGTCGATGTGGAGGGTTTCCGCTTTGTTTTTGTTGTTTTTTTTTCACTTGTTTTCGCTTTTCCTTATCGCGAGTTTTTCCAGCACTTTTTGAGACTCTTCGTTGCTGTTGTTGTTTTTGTTTTATATTAATAATCGCTGTTACTTTATTTTCGTTATTATTAAAGAAAACTATGCGCTGTGCGCTTGTATTGCGTCGTGGTTGCGTTAGTATTGGTAGCACACTCTCGCACTCACACTCACTAGCACACACACAGACACAGCCAGCGTGTTTTTCCTATTAAACTTGTTGTTACTTGTATTATTTAACCACTAATTCGCCTTTTAATATTATGCCTTTTACGCTGGTTAACTATAATATTTCTGATCACGGCGTACAAGGTTATTTAGTAGTCGTCGATGTCGATTGTGTTGTTGTTTTTGTTGTGGTTGTAGTCTCAACTGGCCAATTGCACTTTGGTTTATTCGATATTTCGTTTGTTTTGTTATTGCACTTTAAAGTTCTGCACGGACTTGGTGTCGAACTCGCGTTTTAGCATCTCACAAACGCGATTTATCAGCACTATATGCATTTTACAATGCGCCTACAGCATTTTTTCGTCACGAAATATTATTTTTTACGTTCTTTCCTCTCGCTTGCTTCGTAAACAGTGTGGCAGCATGCGCCCGAAAATACCGCGGTCAGGTACTAGCGCGTAGCGAAAATACCAAAAATGCATTGGGAATGGTAAATTAATACGAAAAAACAGACTACACTGAGAAATAAGATGGATATTTTTACTTTTCATATTGATAACAGATAAGAAAGTAAACAAAACATAAAGTCACGATATTTAAGGTATGTATGATAAGTGGCTTTTTGGCCCACAACTATGACAAGCTTTATTTATTTTTTACGAAGTCACACCTAACTCTTATCATTAAGTAAGTTCAACAAGACAGATCTTCTTATTCTAGGACTTGGCCACCACCGAGGTGTTCTTGAGGGCCACCTCGTCATCGGTGGCTTCAGGAGCGCCCACGTTCGCCAGCGGATCTGCATCGCCAGCTGCACCCGCGTCCAAAGCGTCACCCAGGGCATCGTCATCGTCATCATCGGCGCCGCCGGATTTGTTATATACGGTGGGGTACATTTGGAAGCAGTCGCGCATCTTTGTGAAGGCCTCGTAACAGTCGGAGCCCTTGGGATCGGCCTTGCTGTACTGGAAGCAGGAGAAGGCCTCGCGGAAATCAACACCGCAGGGTCCGGTGGCCATGCCTCCTAGGCACGGGCAACTCCAGTTGATGTTTCCGTCTTTGGTGATCACACCCTCCGGCTGTTCCGGCGCCGGCAACTCGATTTTGCTAGGCGTGGCATGGTCATCCTTGGTGACAAAGATCACCTTGTCCTTGCCGAACTCCTTGCAGAACGAGAAGGAGGACATCTTTCTATATAAATGCTATGACTTCCTCCTCTGAATCCTCGAAATCAATCCGCTTGGGGGATGTGCTGAGCACTTGGAAATGGCAGGGCACCTCCTGGTAGTAACCAATCAAAGATAATGCAATGCGGACGCGTTGCAGGAAGTTCTCGGGCACCCGGAACACGGAACGCTGCTGCGAGGCGCTGAATTTCACAATCTTCACAGAGGTCTGGCCACCAATTTCCCCAAAAACACTCGCCAGGGAATTGAGAATGCAGCCGCAGAGGAAGACGGGCGTCAATGTTACCGACTCTGGATCACGGAGTTTTCTGGGGAAGGGAGAAAAACACAGGTATTAGCTTTACATCATCTTCGGCCTTTGGCGGCACGTGCGCACGTGTTGGAATTGACTTGAGTTTCCGCACTCACAGCTTCACGTCCAGATATTGGTAACCACTCATGCTTTGGTCACAGCTCCAAGTCTCCCGTAGGGCTGAGCGGGTCAAATTTTCTGCCGAAGCTTCGGGAAGTCCTCAAAAATGCCGGTCAGTGTGTATTTTTATGTAATTTCTCCCTTTTCACTGTTTCTTTCTGGCTTCGGAACAGCTGGGCCAAATCGGAGATGCCAAGTTGGCTATTTCACGCTAAAAGTGCTGAGTCGGTATTTTTAAATCCAAAATTACACTCAGAACAAAAATATGTAATTTTATAATTTTTACTTTAAAAAAAAACCCAGTTTATTTAAATTAATTTTGGCAATGAAATATTTTTCTTTGTGAATTTTCAAGTATTTGTAATGCTGAAACTAAAATATTAATTTAAACGAACGTTGACAGATTTGAAAATTGAAATTAAAACGCATGTATTTACATTCTAAAAGCAGCTGGTTATATCATTTTCACCAACTTTTTCAAAGTCTAGCATTGTCTTGGACGTTTCAAGGACTTCAAAATGACAGGGATTTTGCTGATAATGACCTATTAGTGGAATGGAAATTCGCGTCATTTCATAAAATTCCTCCGGGACCCGGAAAATAATACGTTGTTGGAGGGCACAAAATTTTACAATCTCGAGGACTGGTTTATCCTCACAAAAGAAGCTTTCCATAGCATCGAGAAGGCAGTTGCGAAAGAGGGCTGGAGTCAATACCACGTTATCCGGGTCTCGTAGTTTTCTAAGAAATATGAAAGGGTAAAATTAAAAATATATAAATAATTTAAGATATAAAAATGCATGTTTTACGAGCTACTTACAATTTAATGTCGAAATTGTGATACTGGCTCATGGCGATCGGCTGTCCTCACAGGTATTGTTTTAAGTGTAGCGACGTTGGTTGAAAGATGCACTTTCTGTTCGAATGGAAAATAAAAAAGGGTTGTAATTATTTAAGCGAAATCAAATTGAAGATTATAGAATTATAAAAGACGAGGAAAATAAGAAAAATAACGAATTTCCTTTAAAAGTTTGGTAGCGCCAATGATATTAACCCTTATGCGCGGCTTAAGTGTGGCCAGCTGCCTTGGATGTAAAAATCCTCTCACCTACTAGCCTCTGCGTTTTTGCAACTACGGTCCGTCTCCGGTGGCTGGCGGCAATCTTTTATGAAATTTCTGAATAACTTTCAAAACGGGGAATTTTAAGGGCAAACTCGAACTAATCCCAAAAGTCAAACTTTGCAACTGTCAATGGAGAAGCTGTCAAACGTCGAGGCGTCGGCGACGGAGGAGGAGGAGGGGGGACCTCTGAACGTTACCAAGTTAATAGTGAGCGTCGATCACTGATCGAGATGATGGCACCTTTTCTTATCGACGCAATTTCCAGGGCGGCAGCATCACGGCCAAGGACATCCGGCTGCTGCAGCAGGCCAGCCTGCACACCGTGGAGGCGGTGGCCAATGCCACAAAGAAGCAGTTGATGGCCATCCCAGGACTGGGCGGCGGCAAGGTCGAGCAGATCATCACGGAGGCGAACAAACTGGTACCACTGGGCTTTCTCAGTGCTCGCACCTTTCACCAGATGCGAGCGGATGTAGTGCAACTGACCACTGGCTCCAAGGAACTGGACAAGCTCCTAGGCGGTGGCATTGAGACGGGTTCCATTACGGAGATCTTTGGCGAGTTCCGTTGTGGCAAGACGCAGATCTGCCATACGCTGGCCGTCACCTGCCAGCTGCCCATCAGCCAGAAGGGCGGCGAGGGCAAGTGCTTGTATATTGATACGGAGAACACCTTCCGCCCAGAGCGGTTGTCGGCCATCGCTCAGCGTTACAAGCTCAATGAGGCCGAGGTACTGGACAATGTGGCCTGTTCAAGGGCCTACAACTCGGACCAGCAGACGCGGCTTATACAGATGGCAGCGGGCATGCTCTTTGAATCGAGGTGGGTTAGACTTTTAACCGAAAACGGAAAACATGTCTAGAAAAACTTCAATTTCAGATACGCCGTCGTCATAGTGGATAGTGCCATGGCTCTCTACCGATCGGATTATATAGGACGAGGCGAGTTGGCCGCTCGCCAGAATCATTTGGGCTTATTCCTGCGCATGCTGCAACGGCTGGCGGATGAGTTTGGCGTGGCCGTGGTCATTACCAATCAGGTGACTGCCTCGCTGGACGGCGGCCCAGGCATGTTTGCGGGAGACGCCAAGAAACCAATCGGAGGACACATAATGGCGCACTCCTCCACCACGCGACTATATCTGCGCAAAGGCAAGGGCGAGACGCGAATATGTAAGATATATGATTCACCCTGTCTGCCGGAATCGGAGGCAATGTTTGCCATCCTACCGGATGGTATAGGAGATGCCAAGGAAAATTGATTTCTAGCATTATTTAGTATTTAAGAAAGTAAAATATTTATAAAATAAAGGGTTTACGAATGCAGCTTCACTGCACATTTGTGTATTTATTGTTTATTCTAACCGAAGATTAATTGAAAACAAATGAAAACGATAGCTTCAATTAGATTATTTACCATCTCTGGTTGAATTCATTATTAATCATTGAACTTCTATGCACACATATGCTAAATATATATGTATGTACGGTTTAAAGGAAGCTGAAATATAACTACTTATTGATGTACAAGAGCGTAGATATGCTACTGGTATCCACACGGTATTCAGAGTAAGTAAACTGCATTAAACTTAATCCTAGAAAGTAAGCAATTAGCACTCGTCGTCGGGAGCTTTTTGGGGCTAGGATGCCCGGATCTTTACGCTTAGATCTAACTGAAAAATAAAATATGGAATTAAAAAACCAAAGTCCGATGCTATTTTCCTTATTTTCTGCTTACCAGTTGGACTTGCAGATCTTGTCCAAAAAAAACACTGATAATCTATTTTTGAGCCGCTTCCGCGGCGGCGCCTTCTTTGGCCTCAACCAGATTGTTGTAGCCACGCTCGTTCATACCCACTCGCAGGTTCTCATTCATATTCTTCGTGTACGTCTTGTAGATTTTCACCTTCTCACAAAACTCTATCCAGAAGTTGTCCTCGTATTCATTTTCCGAATTGAACAGCGACTTAAAGCCGTCATATATGGAGGCGGAAACTTTGCGTATGATCTGAGCCTTCTCCTTGAACTCCACCTCGTCGCAGAGGTCCATTTTCCAGAGTTCCAAGTTGCCAACATAGCGACGCAGGCGTCGCATTATGTCCACACACTCGGGATTGCGTAACAACATCAACTTGTTGAGCTCCACATCCTTGAACATCTCCAGAATCTCTAGGCACTTGCCCACATTGGCTCGCCGCAAGCCCAAGCATTCGCGCAGCTGCTGGGAGAGCTGGATGAAGTCACGTTCACTAAACAGTGCATCCTCATGATCAATTAGCTCCTCAATAAACCGCATGGCCTCCTGCTTCGGTATCTCGCTGCGTGCCGGCTCCACAATAATGCGTTCTGGCATGGATTCTGGCTCAATTTGACCACTCTCCAGCTTCACCTTTAGCTCCATGGCTTCTAAGCGTGACTTCTCTAACCAGGCCTGCTCGGCGGCGGCACTCTCAAAGATCTCCGGCTTGTTGTAGTTGAGATCAATGCCCAGGCACTTGGCCGTCGGCAGGTATACCATCAGCATGTCGTTCTGGATGTTCTGTGGAGTTGGAAGGGAAAATTGTAGATGAGTTTAATGCCTTCGAGATCTTATTAGGATATTTTTATTGTCCTAGGTCGCTTATGATATAGGAGAACCTTCAAGTTTTTCCCATAGATATTTACTCACATTTACTGGCCTGGAGCGCTTCTGGATGGGAGTTACAGCTGCTGTCGGTTTCGATTTCTTAACCGACTTCTGACGGTTGGTGGCGCCAGCAGCTGGTGTAGCAGGCGAGGCCGTTGCAGAGGCGGCATTGGGTGTTGCATTCAATCCCTCCGGCGGCACCCGACGCTTTGGCGGCGGCGGAGCATCGGCAGAACCCGAGGCATCCGGCACGGCTGCCGCATCAGTGTCGCCGTCCACATGGCGTGGAGGTGCCTTGCTCTTGCGGGAACCTCCTGGTGTCTTTTTGGGTTTTTCGCCTCCGACAGTTGCAGCGGAAGCAGAAGTCTCTGGCTTGGTTACCTCTTCGGACTTCTTGGCGGGAGCCGGGGTCTCGGAGCCAGCGGTGGCGGCGGCGGGGGTAGAGGCTCCCTCTTCGGCGGCGGACAAATCGATAGGTGCCGAGTCCTCGCCGCTCAAAGCACTTTCGATCTGGTCGATGGCGTCGCTGAATTTGGCGCGCTTCATATTCTTGTCTGTGGCAAACTTTTCCTTGTTGTCCACGTAGGAGAATAGATCCTCCAACTTGATATTGGCCGTCTCGCCCGTGCCATAGAAGTAAACATTGTACTTCTTGTTGTTGTACTTGGTGATCTTTGCCGGCCACGCGGGATAGCCCTTGACCTTGGCGAACACCAGGTCGCCGATGCTGAAGGACTTGCCAGCCTTTTCTTTTCCCATTGCAGTCGAATTGACTTTTAGATCCTGGATTGAAGAATTTTTAACCAATTTTGTGGCGTCTGCTTTCCTCTCCCGCTTCTCTTCTTCTTTAGTGTGGCCAACTCCCCGCGTTTTACGTGTGGCTGGCAGTTGTTGTTGTTGGTTGATGTTATCGATAAATTACAATCGAAATCGAAGCCGTTAAAATCGCTTCTTTCAAATTTCTTTCGAATTTGACAAATTAAATTTAAAAGTTGTATGAGTTTGAAGTTTCCTTGCTTTTCAGGAGAAATTTCTGGAAGAAATGGAAATAAGAATGACTTCTAGAGTAAAAAACTGTGGTTCTTGGCTTAAAAACTTAATTCATTTATAGGTCAATTTTTTTGATTGTGCTTAAATTTTTATTATTTTTTTCAACAATCGCAGAAAATTATACCTGTAAAATCAATATATATCACAGAAAAATATATTTGTAAAACCAATTATATTATTTTTATTTAATTTCTTTTTAATTAAATTATTTCCTTTTTTCTTTTTTTTTTCTTCTTTTAAGAATTATATTAAATTGATATGTCCTGGTTCACTTATTTTACTTACTTACTGTTTAGGAAATTGGCAATGCTCACACAGGTGGATGTTGTTCGTTGGCAGTGGATTTTTCACCTCAATTTTCACCCACACAACACCTTTACGCACCTCGGCATAATACCCAACTCACCACATCAACTATAAAATGTTTTTTTTGAAAGCATTTCGGTTCGCTGTCGCTCAGTCGTCGCTGGTTTGCCAAAAAGAATAGAATCACATTTCCCTCGGCAAAAAACCCGAGGAACTTCAGTTTGTTTACCGAACCACCGATTGGCGGAGATCAAGCGGAAAATAGTATATATTTGTGTTTTCCGTCTGGAATCTGAGGAATTTGTTTATTGCGGAGCGTAAATACTTAATTAAGTGGCGCGAATTCCGAGCGTAACGTAAACATGCAGGAGTTGATAGTTGGAGGCGGAGGCATCCGAATCCCCTATGATGATAATGAGAATGTCGAGAACGAGAATCGCCAAAAGTGAGTCATTTGCACGCATAATATATAGTATATAGAATTATATAGTACACCTTTACCATTTTGTTCTTGCCTAATGTGTTTTGCGGTGGGCATTTACGCCCCGTTTTAGTTAGTGGCAATCATTAATGGTTTAGTCAAGGTCGCACGGTGATGTCACCTATCCCGAACCTTTGTGACGATAGCTTGACGTGACCAAAACATAGTTAATTAGAGTAATGGTTTCAGTTTACTAAGCTTTATACAATTACATGGCCTGACATCATTGTAAACTGTAGAATTTTATAGATTCGCAACCTTTAAAACGTAGAAAGCCAATAAACTGATAATTCCAGCAGCTTAAGTTGACAGTTTTTTGTTAAAAAGTAAAATATTCTGACAATATACAGAAAAGCTGTATAATTTATGATAAAGTCGCTGTTAGCATCAATTAATAAAAGCTGTCAGAGATTTGGGGAAAAGCATATTGGTAATTTTGAACATAAATCGTCAGAAAATATATTCGATTTTGAAAAATATTCAAAGGAATTTGTATTTTATATTCAATGATATTTTTCATATTTTTAAAATTTAGGATAGGATAGGATAAACTAATAGCAAAACACACATATATTCTAATAGCTTTCTATAGCTTCTTTTTATGCACAATAGTTCAAAGTCCAAAAACCCCAACATATGCACCCAATTTGGCCACATGCGTTTTTCAAAACCAATGTGTTTTTTGAACTAAATTCCATTCTGAATTCCAACGTATTTACATATAAGTATTTCTTGTTGTGTGTGCATATTTCAAGCATGGCCCGCTTTTTCGCAATTGTCCCATTTTATACAACGCGGAAATCATGTCGGAACTGTATGTTTTACATTCGAAATAAAATGCAAAAAATATATGTATTCATTAAAATAATTCTTGGGTCCTCTGGCGCATTCTTGGCATTCTTTATCGGAGGCCCTGACTCTGACAATTGAATTCAAGGACACCATAATTGCTAAAATGAAATTAGTCATTTTTCATTTTGCGCAACTGAGGCAGGTCTGTCTACAAGTCCGTCAAAAAATTTTTGGCAGTCGAAATAATAATAAATAAAATGTGTGTGCGCCCCTGAGGTAATATTTAAAATATTGGTAGTAGAATATCATTATTTTGTTTTGCAAATTACAGTATAAACGCAGGATTTATAAATTTATAAGCATGGGAGTATCCACTGTCTTTTTTCGCGCCATTCCATTAACCTAGTTCCCCCCACAACATCATCATGTGATTGACAATGCAAAACTATTCCCGCCCAGAGACAAGGACTTGGAATTCATCCATTATACAGTGGATACATAAATAATGGTTGTGGAATTTCAAAAAAAACATCACAATTTGTTTTTGGTTTTTATTTTTGCATTTAGCAATAATAAAAAAGATAGAAACAAAATCATTGTGTCGTCCATAAATGCGGGCGGTGTGAAATATTTTAATTTCACTTATTTTCAAATCAAAAACATTTCTGCGCCGATGCCACTGGCTGGGGTCTAGTGAAAGTGACCGATGATTAATTTTGGCAACTTGCCAGCGGAATTCATGATTATTATTTAATGACGACGCAAAGTCGCCGTAAACATATAATAAAACCAAAAAGACATATATTTTCCTGTGTGACACACACAGGAGAACGTAATACTCTTACAGGGATATAGCAGACGTAATCAAGTTTAGTAAAATAATATTTATTTACAGCCAAACTGTTGTTAATAAATAAACTTTGGGTTATAAATAATCTTTGTTTTGAATACCACAAAAGATTTCTAGGACCAAAGACGAGGAATATCCAGAGAAATTATAGATGATATTTATTCTAAATATTTTTAAATATTTTGCTTAAAATTTCTTTTTTTAAATACTATAATCCAAATTTTATATATATTCTCAACATTTCCCTTAGATATTTCCTTTCAAAATTAAATTTAAATATTTTTGAGACATTATTATAGCGTATAATTGTTTCGTTTTTAAAATAAATTCAGTGTTTAATTTTACATTTACATTCCTAAGTGTCAGCCTCTTTGGAGAGTGCTGAAAAGAGGCGGAAAGGTGCCAAAGGAGGGGTCTTAGCCACCTCCATTTGATCTCTGTTGACAAGGGGCATTGACAGCGGGAGAGGGTGGTGGGTTGATGGATGAGGCGAATTAAAGCCAGATGTCATGTCTCTATTTTTTAATTATTTTGATGTAACCATATATAGGAGCAAGGGGAATATATCCATCTTAAATTGGGCAAATAAATATGGGATTATATGGGATAAATGTTGACTGACAGCTTTGGAAATATGGCTTGTTTACTTGGCATTATTCCATTTAATTCGATTTTCATTATAGAATATTTGATTATAATATTGTAGAATTCTGAAAATAACATTTTGTTTGCTCTTAAATTGTAATTTAAACACTCCAAAGCCATAGATAATGTGCGATTTCAGATACGTAAAATCTTTGTTTATCCATTCACCAAACACCATTATAGATCAATTCTATTTTCATATCGCATCCATTTATTATACACTCGGCGAAACTAATTATAAACAACATTTTTGAGGTGTACAGATACAAATTCGTATATATGTATGTGCAGATATGTGGCATATGTTTATTGTTTGTACGTTGCCTACGCAGCGCTAAAAAACCATGACGTCGCCTGATAAATACGTAGGATCTGTTGGGACTCTCGGTGGGAATGGAATGGGGCTGGTCCGCTGGCTGGGTGATGTGTTTGCCTTAGCTTCCATTCACAAAATTACCCTGCCCAATGGTGGGCTGTTTCATGTTGAGAGCTTTAGCAGTACTACGCAAAAAAATACACGAATACCTGCCATTTGTTTATGCGATATTTGTTGTTTGGCTTAACACCAAATGTTCATGCATACGTTCTCCTTTGTTCCCCTGAGAAATGTTCTTATTTTATTGGTTTTTTCAACCCACTCATTAAAATATATTAAATTTCCTTTAGTATCCAGCCGAAAAAGTACGCAGTATTTTTAACAAAAATATAAAAATATGAAAAGGAAAGAACCGAAATAGAATTTAGACAGTTAAGCTAGAAAAAATAATATAATAAATAAAATATAAATGGCATTAATAGCTGTATTTAGTATACAAATAATTTGTTTATGCTTTTTTTCAAGTAATTTATGAAGATAATTAAGTTGTTACAATTTTTAAATTAAATTTATAATTTTAGGGTAAAGTTTAGTGGTAAAAATATATTATATTATTAATTATATATTACTTTTCTTATTTTCCAGCAAACTGAGTCCTGAGAATCACACACCTTATCCCGGCCTGTCCCGTCTCACTCCTTCCCTGATCCTTTGCGGAGCTGCAGCGGTGGTGCCCGCCTACATGGACAAACTGGGCGTAAGCTGCGTCATCAATGTGGCTCCCGAGCTGCCAGATACACCACTATCCAGTGAGCGAAGTCCAGTGTACTTGCGCATCAATGCCCAGGATCGATCAGAGGTGGACTTGTCCAAGCATTTTGATGAGGTGGCCGACTTGATAGAGGAAGTGCGTCTCAGTGGAGGCTGTTCCTTGATCCACTGCGTGGCTGGAGTGAGTCGATCGGCCAGTTTGTGCCTGGCCTACCTGATGAAGCATGCGGGAATGAGCCTGCGCGAGGCCTACAAGCACGTCCAGTCTATAAGGCCGCAGGTTCGCCCAAACTCAGGCTTCTTCCAGCAGCTCAGGCGCTACGAGCAGGAGTTACGTGGCAGCAGCTCCGTGGAAATGGTTTACTTTGCTTCCTTGGACAAGGAAATACCCGACATACTGGAGCCCGAGTACAGAGCCATGGAGGACTTCTATCAGCGTTACCGCAGCTCACTCAAGAAGCGCTAGGTCACTCACCACACTCTACCCCTCTAATCTTACTTGTGATACTCGTTTCCTACCACCTAGACTGTAGATTAGCTCTTAGAAAGATAACAAATGCTGAAAAACTCACTCTATAAAGTGAAAACTAATGTATGATTAAACTTTGAATTACAAATACACTTTTATTTTAGTTTGTTTTCTTTATGTTTTATCAGAACATTGAATTTACAGCGTAAAGTATTCAGTTATTAGTAATTTCAATGAATCACAAAGTCATCAGCGGCGAACAAACAACACAATTCCATTATATTGTACTGTATCTAGTAAGTATTATTTACAACAAGACGTTATAGTAGCTAACTAAACCGTAAACTCGTAGATTTGGGTTCCAATAAATGCTCTCGTTTAAGTCCCTAGAAAACTTTGGCATTCGATGGGACAATAGAATCGATATACAGATATGGGGGATGGAGGATGTGTGTGTGTATGTACATTAAACACCTAGAATTCAGCACCTTAATAGCATCTCGACACGAGCAACTTAGACTTAGACTTAACCCAAAATGAAAATTGGCTAGCTAAAAGAAGGCTTATGTGTGTGTGCTTAACTAGAACCACCTTAGGTTTCCTCCACTTACTTCGTAGTCAGCGACATTTGCGGCGGCTGTTGGTGCATCAGCTTCTTCAGGTTCTCGTAGGCTGTGTTCATAATGCCCCAGCTAATGAAAGAGCGGCCTGTATTAAAGGCGCATCCCCTATAAAAGTGGCCAATGCGGCAATCCCGTTCTCTATAAATCCTCTTGGCTGCCTGCCAGCTGCCCTCCGAACGCTGGCCCATGTCGCTTTGCAGCGACACCTTGATCACGTTAAGCGGGTAGAAAATTGTGCTGATACTGGCACCGATTACGGCGCCGGCAATGAACTCCTGGGCCGTGCGACTGGACACGGATTTCTGTGTAGGAAAATGAAACGTATTAAAAACTCTTCAAATTGAAATATGACAATAAATACTCACCCTCTTTGGCAGTCTTGCACTGGCCTCTTCTCTGAGCACAAAAAAGAAAGCATTGGACAGGCCATTGCGCCAAAATACTGGTTCTATTCCCCTGTATAGTTCCCGGTAACCATGATGGGTTACCACATACCTAACAGATGATAAGATTAAGTATTAACTTTCACATTCATAAGCTAAAAAGTAAGGCAAACACTCACCTGAATGCATTCGGTGTGTTGGAAAAGTGCTGGTGAAACTTGGAGTCCGCCAGCAGGGTCTGCACACGCTCAAAGGGCAGGAGTATGGACTCGGCACTGCCCGCCACCACGCCGGCAATTACCTTGGCCCCATAATCATTCAGCCTGTAGTCCTCCACCAGGTAACGCCGCGTGCCATCAAACACGCCAAACATAATGGATAGAGAGATGGTTTTCTGGGCCAGCGGAGGCAACATTCCTCGATAGAGGAAACCCAAACCCTCGTGCCGCAGCTGGGCAAAGGCCGAGGTAATGGGCACGCCGTGCAGCATCTGCCGGAAGATCATCTTGTAGATGGGATAGGTGGCGGCGATGTTGACGAAGGCTGCGCCGCAACCGCAGGCGAACTCCTCCCACTGGAAAGCGCCAAAGAAGCGCTCTGAGAAGACGTTGGCACGCCGGGAAGTCGGCGGTCCCAGCCATTTTGTTGCTGTCGCTGTGGGAGTGTTTCCGGCTGTGGACTCCGCTTCGCCCTCGTCATCCATGTTGCTAAAGTTGCTGCTCTACTCTGCTGCTGCTGCTGCTGGTGCTGTTGTGTGGAGAAGTGGGCATTTGTCCGTCACCGCGATACCATCGTCCACAGTGGTAACACCCGCACACTCTCTCACACTTGTTTCGCGCTCTGCCAGGTTTGTTTTGATCACATCGAGTTGGAGTTTTAATTATATAATGATGAAGAACCACGGTACCAGAGTGGCCGGAACAGCTGTGCCAATGTTACCAAATAACTTCAACAAATATACTAAAATATTATTAAATAATACCAGAAAATATACTAAAAGGAAAGAGCTTAAAAAGAGGGAACTATATTTTAATTAAATTTATTTATGCATTAAAAAAAACCCAAAGTAATTATTATTTTAATAAGCATAATTAAAATATTTATTTTCTTACAAAATTAAAAAAATTAGACAAGACCTAAAATATAATTTAATACATACATTATTTATGAAGAAAGGTAACAGTTAAATAAAATGTTAAACAAAAAAATGTATACAAATTCTTGTAAAAAATAAATTACGAGATATTTGGTTGACTTAATCATTTACCAAAAGTACAATCCGCGAGGCTAGTGTAAAGGTAAGCTCTCCTTAGTATTTTTCACCTCCCCCGATATGGTCACACTAAAATAACAATAAACATCCATGGACCGCAAGAAAACGTAAACAAAACAATATTTTAGGCAAAAATATTGCATTTTTTAAGAAAATCAAAATTAAAACCCGGCATGAGCTGTAACTACGCGGAAGGACTATCAGCCTACGACGACAAGGGAGTCCTAGGAGCTCCCGAGACCTTCGACAGCGACGATATAGTGACCGAAAAATGCAAGGAACTGGTAGAATTAATCAAGAAATCCGGTCATGTGGTACTCCATACAGGAGCTGGTATTAGTACCTCTGCGGGAATACCTGATTTCCGGGGACCCAAAGGTGTTTGGACGCTGGAGGAGAAGGGCGAAAAGCCGGACTTCAATGTGTCTTTCGACGAGGCGAAACCCACCAAGACGCACATGGCGATTATAGCCCTGCTGGAGAGTGGCTTTGTGCAGTATGTGGTGTCCCAAAACATTGACGGATTGCACCTGAAATCTGGACTGGATAGAAGATTCCTCTCGGAGTTACATGGCAATATTTACATAGAGCAGTGTAAAAAGTGCCGGCGCCAGTTTGTGAGATCCACAGCTGTGGAAACTGTGGGCCAGAAATCTCTAGATCGTCCTTGCAAGTCTTCCCTGGAGAGTCAAGGACGCAGCTGCAGATCGGGTATACTCCACGATAACGTTTTGGATTGGGAACATGATCTACCGGAGAAGGATCTGGAAATGGGTTTGATGCACTCCACCATTGCGGATTTGAACATAGCCCTAGGAACCACTCTGCAAATCGTTCCAAGCGGCGATCTTCCTCTGAAAAACCTCAAACGGGGTGGTAAATTTGTGATTTGTAATTTGCAGCCCACAAAACATGACAAAAAGGCCAACTTGATCATCTCCAGCTATGTGGATGTGGTTTTGTCCAAGGTCTGCAAGCTGCTGGGCGTGGAAATTCCAGAATATTCAGACACAACTGATCCCACAAAGCTTCCAAGTCCGAATGAGTGGACCATACCTATGAACGAGGTGAATAACTTTCATAAACATTACAAGAGTCGCGTGAAAGAGTCGAAAATTGAGTCGAAAGCTAAGAAAACAAAGTATGTTTAAGGAAAGAGATTATTATATACAACAAAATTAATTTAAATTGAATCTAAAAATATTCTCAAAATTTTAATTCCTTAAATAACCTCAAAATACTGCCTTGCATGTTTTTAGAAACGCTTTAAAATGATTTTAAACCTCTGACAAGGTTAGGAGTATACCTTAATTCCTAAAATACCTCCTACATTTATGTTTAAATCTCTCGAAGTATTTGTAAATGTTTATTTAACTCATGGAAATAAACCTTAGTTAATTTTTAAAAACAAATGACCACCACTTTGTGTTTAAAATAAAATAATTCAAGTAATGTTTAAGTTTATGTTTGTAATGCGGAATTTGTAAACTTTAAATTGCATTTATTATAATAGTAAATGTAAAATGTATTTAATTGTTTAGTTTAACTACTTTCCCTTAAATTTCCTTTGTAAAAAAAGTAAACTTTGATAAATACAAAAGGTACTTTAGTTGTTTTTATTAAAAATTAAGTGTAAACAGATGGTTTTTAACATTTTCCTTAGGTCTAAACTCCTTACAAATCAGGCAATATGGGCGGACAGGTGCAAACGAGATGCTTGTCACCATAGGCATCATCGATTCTGCCCACAGTGGGCCAGATTTTGGCATCAGGCTTAACAAAGATCTGTAAAAAAATAAATTAAATTATTTAAATTAAATTATTTTAAAATTATTTCAACTCACAGCTGGGAAGGCAGCCTGCTCTCGTGTATAAGGCCGATCCCACTTGTCTGAGATGACCTGGGCCTGGGTGTGTGGTGACATCTTCAAAGGATTCACTGCCTTGTCCATGCGTCCTGCCTCGATCTCGGCTATCTCCTCTCGAATCGAAATCATGGCATCACAGAACCGATCCAGCTCTTCCTTATCCTCCGACTCCGTGGGCTCAATCATCAGCGTTCCGGCCACAGGCCAGGACATTGTGGGAGCATGGAAACCATAGTCCATCAGTCGCTTGGCCACATCCACAGCCTCGATGTTGGCCGATTTCTTCAGGTCGCGTATGTCCAAAATAAACTCGTGGGCCACCAGCTGCGAGTTGGGTGCCTTGTAGAGCGTCTTGTAGTGCTGCTCCAGCCGCTTGGACATGTAGTTAGCGTTCAGGATGGCCACTTGGGTGGCTCTCTTCAGGCCTCGGCTGCCCATAAGCTTGATGTAGGACCAGGAGATGGGCAGGATGGCGGAGCTGCCGAAGGGTGCGGCAGAGACCACGCCAAAGCTGTGCTCCTCGCTGCTCAGCGGACTCACCACAGGATGTCCTGGCAGATACGGAGCCAAGTGAGACTTGACGCCAATGGGACCCATTCCAGGACCACCGCCGCCGTGGGGAATACAGAAGGTCTTGTGCAGGTTAAGATGGGACACATCACTGCCGTAATCTCCGGGCCGGCACAAGCCCACCTGAGCATTCATATTGGCACCATCCAGGTAGACCTGGCCTCCATGCTTGTGGATCAGCGTGCAGATATCTGCCACCGTTTCTTCAAAGACGCCCATGGTGGACGGATAGGTGATCATCAGGCAGGACAGTTCATTGGCATGCTCCTCGGCCTTTGCTCTCAGATGGGCCATGTCAATGGAGCCATTCGACAAGATCCTAATGGGTTCCACCTTCATGCCTGCCATTTGGGCAGAGGCTGGGTTCGTGCCGTGGGCGGAAATGGGGATCAGACAGATATTTCTGTGTCCCTCGTTTCGGTGCTCATGGTAACTCCTAATGGCCCTCAATCCGGCATACTCTCCTTGTGCTCCTGAGTTGGGCTGGAAGGAGATCCTGTCGTAGCCCGTAATCTCACACAGATCACGCTCTAGTTCATTGAACATCTGATGGAATCCCTGGGCTTGCTCTACAGGAGCAAAGGGATGAATGTCGGTAAAGTGGCGGAAGGAGCAGGGCATCATCTCCGTGGTGGAGTTGAGCTTCATGGTGCAAGAGCCCAGGGGAATCATGGAGTGCACCAGAGAGATGTCCTTGTTCTCCAGTTTCTTCATATAGCGCACCATGCGGGACTCGCTGGAGGATGAAGAAGGTATCATTAATATCCCTTCCTTATATCATCCCTATACTAATCTCACCTGTGATAGCTCTGGAAAATGGGATGCTGCAGGTATGCAGAAGTACGCAGGAACTTGGAGTTTTCAATGGAATTTTTGAGAACATCGCGACGTGCCAGCAACTGCTCCACCGTAGCCTCCGCCTTGAACACCCACAGCAGATCATCCACATCCGCCACACTGACAGTTTCATCGAGAGCCACGCCGACTGTGCCATCTTCCAGGTACCTCAAATTAATGCGCTTGTGCTCGGCGCGCTCTTTAAGATCCTCCAGAGACTGGTTTCCAGCCAGTTTAATATGTAAAGTGTCAAAGAAGTTCTTGTTGATCACTTCGTGGCCTGCACCCAGTAGTCCCGTTTGCAGGGTCAGCGTAAAGTGGTGGATGCGATTAGCCATGGCCTTCAGACCCTCTGGTCCATGGTAGATGGCGTACATGGCCGACATATTGGCCAAAAGAGCTTGAGCCGTGCAAATGTTGCTCGTAGCCTTGTCCCTGCGGATGTGCTGCTCGCGTGTCTGGAGGGCCAGGCGATAGGCATCATTACCGTCCATGTCCCGGGTCACGCCGATCATGCGACCTGGCATCAGGCGTACCAGGCTCTGTTTGCAGGCAAAGAATCCAGCATGGGGGCCACCATAACCCAGGGGAACTCCCAGACGCTGAGAGGTCCCCACGGCAATGTCTGCTCCAAATTCCGCCGGAGGACGAAGCAGGGTCAGGGAGAGAAGATCGGTGGCTACCACCACAAGGGTCTACAGAGAAGAAACAGATTAAAATCCATCTTTTGTAAAGCTTTCCTTATGCAAAACCCACTCCGTTCTTTTTGGCCAATGCAGCAATGTCCTCAAAGTCCTTGACATCACCATAGGTATCCGGATACTGGAGCAGAATACCGGCCAGCTCACGACTGGGCAGATCCGCCTGCTCAATGGGTCCCACCACAATCTCCAGCTCGAGAGCTTCGGCTCTCGTCTTCACCACCGAAAGAGTCTGGGGATGTACTCTGTTGGAGAGGTATAGCTTCTTCCTCTTGTTGTGACGCGTGGCCAGGCACATGGCCTCGGCGGCAGCAGTTCCCTCATCCAAAAGCGAAGCATTGGCCACATCCAGACCCGTGAGATCGGATACCAAAGTCTGATAGTTCAGCAGAGACTCCAATCGGCCTTGGGCAATTTCCGGTTGGTAAGGTGTATACTGCGTGGTCCAGCCCGGATTCTCAAACATATTCCGGACAATGGTGTGCGGCACATGGCAGTTGTGGTAGCCCATACCGATGTAGGAGCGCCACAGCTGATTCTTCAGGGAGATGTCGCGGATACGACGGATTAGCTCGTGCTCGTCTGCGGGAGAGAGGGGAGTAAGAGGGAAGTGAAAAGTTGTTGTCAGCCAGACGAAGAAGATCAAGTCGGGGCGGCCACAACAGCGATAAGGAGGCGGGAGACCTCGATGAACCCGGCTTATCACCGCCTGCGAACACGCCAGGGGGTCCGTTGCCTCACCGACTGTTTTTTTTTTTTTTCTAGCTATTTTGGGATTATAAAATAACACTACTTACTCAGGGGTTTGTCCAGGTCGAGTTCCCTCTTCAGTTGAATGCTCTGGGGCACAGCCTTCTCGGTGAGCTCAGCCAGGGACTAAAGGTTAACAATGAAGGTGTGATAGGTTGATACCTTTCCTTCTTTTCATCATAATTATAATGTTAAAATATCCTTATCCTACCTTAAACCCCAAGGTGTCCAGCATTGCCACAACATCCGTTTTCCGGGGTCCAATATGGCGACTGGGAAAATCGGATTTGGTGGGGAATAGCACCTCCTCCACGGGCGTGGTGGCCAGATAGCGGTGTCCACATCTCAGCAGCAGGCTCTGGCTGCTCCTTCCCAAGAATCGTTGCATGTTTAAGCGGTTTTCCAAAAGGCACGTCCACGCCACGCGGATTTCAATCAGTGACTGATTTCAAAGCTGGACAGATTCTCCCATTTCGAGGTGATAAGACTACCCACTGATCTCGGCTTATCAGTGAGTCTAGTCTCTCTCTCTCTTCCAAGCGATGGAAAAATTCAACCCTCCCTTATTATACAGACCACAAAAAAATTGTTTTTAAATATTTTCGTTTTATTTCAAAACTTAAAACTCTTCAACAATTTGTAATAAAAATATGTTTACTATTTTGTTTTAACTTTTTACCAATTCGTTAGTTTGTTGTGTTCTCAAATATCAATAACAAAAATTGTTTACAAAAACTTGTCAACAAGAGTAACAAAAAAAAATATTTAGAACTAAACTGGATTAACGAAATTTAAGAGAGAACATTATTTGGGATTAAAGTTATGCGTAAATAGTATATCAACTGAAGCCGTTATCGTCTTTTTGCCTACTTAACAATTGCATTTTGGTAGTTATTGTGGAAACTCGCCGATTTTGAATCGAAATACACTTGTCATAAAATTTTCCTAAGCGTTTTGATTAACTTTCGGGTCCTCTGCCTCGCCTGATATCTGTTTCTATAGCCACTATCCTTCGGGGTTACTTGCTTATTCGTTATCGTAAACGTGTCATTTGCATAATTGAAATTCAACAACTGCAATCGGGGTATATAACTAAATGTAATTTATATATATAATATATCGTTCAATTCGTATAGGTACACATACATATATCTGCGTGTCTGCGTGTATATTTAACAATGTTTTTCTGGTAAACTAATTTTACGGCTCTCGTGTCAGTCAGTTAACGTAATTTGATTAATTATTAGGTTTAGCTTCCTCGACTAACTCGGCCCCGAAAAATGCACTGAGAGAATTTTACACCGTAGCATAGTGTACATTATATCTGGTTGTGTAATTGGGTTGGCTAGTGTGTAAACCGTGTAAATTGATTATTTAATATTAAGGAAAAGTTTGTAAGTATAATTCAGGAATTAGAGCTAAACTTTGTGGTTAACGCTGAAAAAAGATGTTGGAATAACAATCTGCCCGATTCACATATTTGTTTTCTTGGTTACAGTTTCGATAGATATATATATATAGATGTATATATATTGTATAAAAATCTTTGCTAAGTTATGATCAGTTGAGTTGCCGGTGCTGTCAATGTAGATGAGGTAAGTTGCAAGAAGCCAAAATGGTTTGGTGCAAGAAGAGTAAATATCCGATTCGCAAGGAGTGTATATATATTAATAGAGATATATATTTAGTTGTGTTGGTATTTGTTGCCTAAAACTGTGTATTATAGTTAGTATATATATATATTGCTTACTGAGCATTAAGTATATTGAGAGAGAAGACTTTCTAAAATTAAGTTGAGTGAGCTAAATATAAAAGAAGTGAAGAATTAGGTAACTTTAGGCTTTAACCAGTTGGGAATTTTAATCATATACATATACTTAATACATATTTAATTTAAATAATAATAATTTTAGAAAACACCTTTTCTCTCAGTATATTAATTTTTGAGCTTGATTTCGAGTAACGTCATTTGAAAAATGTGTTTTTGTTTCTGAAAGTTTCTGCTTTGTGATGTTTATGGACAACCTTTGGTTAACGACTGATGTGGATTCCTTATTTCTTCTCCTGTTCCTTGTCAAAATTGGAAACGAAGGTGCGATTGAACTGAAACGGAGCCAGGGGAGAGGCACTTACAGCACCCAGGGAACTGCTGGCCAGTGGTTCCCTCAGTGTGAACGACATCATGGGATTGTAGACCCCCGTGGAAGTGGTGAGCGAACTAGTGCTCGCCGAGCACGTTGTTATGGGATCACTCAGGCGAGAAGTAAAGGAGCTGCTGAAATTGTACGGCACATAGGAGGATGTGGTGGTGGTGGTGGTTAAGGATGAGGCTGAAGTAGTGGTAGCAGTGGCAGCAGAGCGAAGATCAGAGGAGGAGGTGACCCGCGAATAGGGATAGTTGCTGCTGGTGGGCAGCGAAAAGGAGGTGCCTGCATAGCTGCTGGACATGAGTGAGTTTGTGGCGGTGGCAGTGGTGCAGGATGGGGCTGAGGTGGTGCTGAATTCCCCATAACTCCTGGCCGGAACCGAGGGCGAAGCCACCGGCGACCGGCTGTTGGGACGGGAATGGGTCCGCTCGATCTGCTTTTCGGTGAGGAAACGATCATAGAAGGTGGAGGTCACGGTGGTGTGGCGGATCTCCAGCTTGCCGGGCTGATAGACGGGGGCGGATGAGCCGGTGGCAGCCGATGGGCCGCGGGGTTCGTACGGCTGGCGATAGGGTGACACGGGCCGGGGGAAACTGTCCTGGACTGGATCTGTGTGGTGTTGGTGTTGTCGTGTGGCTGTGCTGCGGGACTCGTAGGGGTGGCTCAACGGGGTGCGACAGGCCGAGCGTCGGGCGTCGTCCGCGTACTTGGCGCAGGTCTCTTCTAGTTGTCTATCTACTTTGTGGTTAAACCCGGTTAAACTACTCCCGCTACTTAGTTCGCTACGATTATCGGCTGAATAATTTGGCAACAAGTTATCACGTCTTACCCTACTGCTCTCCCGCTCCCGTTCCCGCTCGCGTTCCCTTCGCTCGCGCTCCTCCTCTTCCTCCTCGAGGCGCCTCCTTCTCGGCGAGAGATCCCTGCTCATGTCCCGATGCGATCGGTAGTGCAGGGGACTCGTGTCCCGAGCCGAGCTGCCAAGCGGACTCCTTCGGGATTCCGCGGAGCCCAGAGACCTGTGCTCCGAGGTGATCCTTATGGAGGGGGCATAGTCACCGGATGCTCGGTGGATGCTCCTGCCACGGCTCTCGCTGCGGCTCAGACTCCGGCTGAGACTTAGGTCCTCCAGGGAGCTCTTCTTGCTGGCAAAGTGCAGGGAGTCCGAGAAGAGCGAGTCGATGTAGCGCTGGCACTTCTCCTTCTGGTAGGGAGGAGGCTTCTCCTCGCACAGGTTGTCGATGGACTTGATCGAGTTCTTGATCGAGCTCAGGCGGTCGTTGATGTTCTCTCCAGTTCGCAGTGGTACGCCGGTGTGGGTCCCAGTTCGGGTGATCGGAGAAGTCTCCTGGAATGCATTAAATTTAATCAGATTATTTTAATCCCAAAGATGCGGCAAACTCACCCTCATGAGGCGACTACCCAGGGCATCCAGACCCTCCGAGCTGCTGGCGTAGCTGCGAGTGGCCGATGGCTGATCTGCAAGAGTCTTCTTAAGAATACGTTGGAGAATTATAGCATTCTCCGCTAAACAGTCCAAAGCTTCATTAGTTCTGCCCACCATTCGATCGCTGGTCTGGCGCGACTTGGACCTGGGCGCCTCCTCAAAGTGGTCCTCGTCCTCGTCTTCGTCCTGGAAGCGTATCACCTTGGGGCTGGTGGGGCGGTAATAGGTGGTGGTCGTATTGGAGGTGGCCTCATCGTAATCGTCACGACGCAGGGCTGACTTGGGCGTGGTGGCGCCATGACGGCGGGGACTCTGCTCCCGGGACTTGGCTGCTCGGAACTCCTCGAAAGAGAGCGAGGGCGATATCACGTCCTTCAGCTTTTGATTGAATGCCCGGTAATCCTTCTGGGTCTTGAAGTCGAACGTGTGCTCCTGCTCCAGGATGCGCATGCGCTCCTCCAGTTCCGCGGCAGTGGGTGGCTCTGGTCGGCCAGGTGAGCTGACCAATCGTTCCAGATTGTGCACCGGTGTCCTGGGCTTCTGCTCATCCCTCATCTTCTGGCGTTTCATGTCTTCGATGGTAGGCGAACGGGAACGGGGCTTGGAGCGAGCCTTAGCCGGAGACTTGAGTTTTCCGTCGAGCACCCGTATCCTGTGCTCCAGCTCCCCAGTTGAGGGTATCGCACTGTCATCTGGACTCGGGTCGAGGAGTATTTCGAGTGGATGAATGGGCGGCTTTCTGTTGGGATCGTTCATGCGCTTGGCCAGGTTCTCCTTAGACTTGGATCTTACCAAGTCGAGCACTCGGTACTTGTACTCCAGGTCATCAGAGATGGGCAAGTCATTGGGATGCGGCTTGCGGCGGGCTGGGGAGGTGTAGGGACTCCGCTTGGACTTCCTTTCCGGCGAGCGGGTTGGCGAGGAGTAAGGCGTTTTCTCGCGCTGCCTCGAGGGCGAAGTATAAGGTGACTTGGTGGCAGCTTTACGGGAAGGCGATGTGTAGGGAGATTTAGTGGCCACTTTCCTTGAGGGCGAAGTATATGGGGATTTAGTGGCCGCCTTGCGTCCAGGACTGCGTGAGCGATCCCTAGCTCTAGCAGTTTCCTCCTCCTTGGTGGGGGCTTCTTCGGGTTGAGTTTCCTCATCATCCAAGCCCCTGCCTTCACACAGCTCCAAATACTTGTTCAAATCCTTCTCATGGGACAGGGAGTATTGCAGCTTAATCTTACGTTCAATCTCCACCAGCCGTTGTTCTACATCGATCTTTTCCACGTCCTCGAGCAGCTTGATCTGCCGTTCCAGGGAGCGGAAGCGTGCCTCCAATTCTTTGGTGGATGGCAGGTAGGCTGTTTTTCTTTTCAAGTGATGCTTCACCGGATTCGGTCCCCAATCGTAGTCCTCTTCGGGCTCCTTAGGCTCTGTTTTGTCTTCCTTAACAGCCTCCTCGGGATTATCTTCCTCCGGCTTGCCGCTTGTAAAGTCTTCGATTTGCTTGGTGAGATCACTGATGGCTTGAACTTGTTCCGCCTGCTCGGTACTTGGTTTGCTATCCGCTCTTATAAGACGACCATCCTCGGACTTGATGAGGTTTCGATCGCTCAGCTGCTTTTCTAGTGCCTGGAAAAGTCCCTCCAGCTCCTCGGTGTTGGCTCTCGTCAATCTCCTTACTCTGGAAGCTCGGGGTTCGTTGTCCATAAGGAGTACCACTGTTTTGTTGTTGGGATCCATGGGTCCCAGATCACTTGCATTGATAACCATTTTGTCTGGTACTTCTTTTGGTGCAGAGGAGTCTTTGGAGGTTTCTTTGGGTTTCTCTGGCAGTTGCTTGATTGTTTCTTTGCTGGCGGAGGCGGTTTCTTTTGCCTTGATTGTTTCAGCCTTTGGATTATCCTGTTTCATGTTGGTCGAAGCAGAATCCTTGGATAGGGGTTCCTCTGTTTTGGGAATTTCTTTCTTATTTTCAGGGACTTTCTGGGAGGAAACTTCTTTTGTTTTAGAGATATCTTTTGAGGGTTTTTCCTCTTTAGTTTGCTTAGGTTTCGTTTCAGAGGACCCTTCTTTGGTGGTGGAAACTTTGTCTTCCTTTTTAGTAACCTCTTCTTTTTTGTCTTTAATGATAGGCTCTGGTTTTTCCTCCGTGACAGTTTTCTCAATCACTTTCTCTACTTTCGGAGATTTATCTGTAACCACTTCCTTGGCTCGAGCTTGGGCTTTCTCCTCATTTTCCAGAGTCTTGGTTTCCTTGGCCATTTCGGGTTTAATTTGAGTCTTGGCAGGCTCCTCGACCTTTTGGGTTTCATCGCTTTTTACATGCTGATTGTGGCAGTTCTTTTCCTGCTTTTTGCAGGCCTCGCTTTCCTCTGGCTGGGGGACTTCATTTTCTGGAATATGAGAGCCATTTTTAGCCCGCTCCTCCAGCAGTTGCTGCTCCAAGAGCTCTAGGCGCCGCGTAAGATCCTCGGTTGTGGGCTTGGACTCGGCTTTCGGCTGCTTGGGTTCACCACTGTCCTTGTTGAGCAGCATCTTTATATTGATGCTTATGTTGATGGGCTTGTGGGCATCCACTTCCTCCAGCTCACCAATGTTCTGGGTGTACCTAACCAGCTCCTTGCCGGTGGCGTCGATAGTTTCCGTGCTCAGTCTTCGAGGACTGCCACCGCTGTCATCGCTTTGGGGAGCTGCTGCGATTCTCTCCCGATCCCGTATCGTCTCGAGCAGTTTGAGACTGTTCTCGCTTAGCTGCTTTTCCAGAGCCAGGACACGCTGCTCTAGTAATCCTTCGACCACGGCCCTGGCCTGGCGGGAGGTGGTCGGCATTTCATCGGGCGAGGGTGAATGCTTGACCTTCGATGCAACTTCGGAATCACTTGCACAGCGCTGCTTGTAGAACTTCGCGTAGAGTTGCCTCTCCAGGAACTGTACTCGGTTCTCGAGATCGGCCCGGGAGGGCAGATCAGAGAACCGACGCACCATGCGCTGCTGCCATTGTTCTTGGTTTGTCGCTCTGTAGTAAGCCGTGTTTGCAGGTGCTTCCGAGGTCTCATCGCCCATGGGCGTGGGTCGTTGCAATAGCTTTCGCTGCCTCCTTTCCGGATTGATCTCGCTGGGCTTAAGGTTCTCCTCCCCTGGGGATTGGCCGCGCATCTTCCGCTGCAGCTCCTCGATCAGAGCCTGCTGCTGGTGGAGCACGGGTGCAGGCAGAATGGGCAGCTCCTTCGGTGGAGGAGGCGGTGGCGGTGGCTCAGGAATGTGCGCTTCAATGGCCACGTCCACGTGCTTGGGTTGTGTCTGGGCCTTGGGTTTTTTCTCCCCGCCCTGCAGTGCCTCAAAGCGGCTCTCCAGATCCTCTGTGGATGGTGGCGGCTTCTTTTCTTCATCCGCGGAGTCTGAGATCACCTCCTGTTCAATCCGCTCCAGAGCCTCGTTTACCGTCTCGTTGGGAGTGGAGAAATGGTTCTTGCTGCTCATGCGACGCTTCAGGGTCTCGTAGCGCTTCTCCAAGTCCTCTGTGGAAGGCGGTTCAGAGGCCCTTCGCTTGTTCAGGTCACTTTGCTGGCTCTGGCTTGGTTCTAGCTCTTCTGATTGGATTACTTTCTTCTCTGGGGTTTTCTCTGACTGATCTTTAGGCTCAACTTTCGTTTGCTCCTTTACCAAAGCTGTGTTCACCTCTTTGATCTTGTCATCGAAGGATTTCATCGACTTTTGTACTTTTTCATCCTGTTGAACTTCTTGTGACTTTTGGGTCTTGGCTATGGACTTAGGTGGCTCAACCTGCTCTAAATTAGTGGTGCTCAGCTGCTTTTCCAGGGCATTAAAGCGCTTTTCCAGTTCTTCTGTGGAAGGTGGAGATTTTCGCGGTGTCTTGGCGGGCTCCTCTTTCTTAGTTTCTTCCGAATCTTTGGTGTTTTTAACATTTTCAGATTCAGTTTTATTGGTGGACTTTTCCGGTTTGGATTGTACTTTTTTTTGGTCTTCAACTTTTTTAGGTTCTGTCTTCTTAGGGCTTTCTTTTTCAGCAGGTATTTCAGGATCAACCTGAGTGGATTCAGTTTCCTTATTGACTTTAACTTTTGATGGAACCCCTTCTTCAATAGTTTCCTTTTTGGTTGATTGAGTTTCCGAATGTTTGGTATCCGTTTTTAAGTCAGAGCTTTCTTTTCCCTTTTGCTTTGGTGACACAACTGGCTTTGTTTTACTTTTCGGAGCTGGCTCTTCTGTTGGGGATGAAGCTTTCTCTTCAGGTTCTTCTCGAGTACTTTCTTTATGCTCTTTTGAGGCTTTCTTTTCGGACTCTTGTGGTTTGCTCTCCTGCTCGGTAGACTCTTCATCGGGTGGCTCCTTTTTGGCCTTGACTGGGCTGCTCTTCTGCACACTCATCTTACGTTCGAGGGCATTGAAGCGATCTTCGAGCTCAGCCGTGGAGGGCAATTTTTTAAGGCGTGGCTGGTCGGTTTTTCTGTCTTCACTGGCCTTTTCTTTGGATTCGCTGGCTTCAGTTTTTGAGCTCTCCTGGACTTCAGATTCCAGCTCCTCCGATTTGTGCAGCTTACTGGTTTTCTCGCTGTCCTTTTGCTCTTTGGAGCTGCCACTGCCACTGGGCTGTTCGTCGTCCTTGAGATCAATGGGAGACTTGGCTGTCGATTCGCTGGAACTCAATTGTTTGGTTAAGGCATTGAAGCGGGTCTCGAGATCGGCGGTGGAGGGAATGCGTTCGAATTTTTCTGGATGTTCGGAGTCGATTTCCACGAGTTCCTTACGCTGCTTGTCGGCACTTAGTTGCTTCTCCAGTGTGTTGAAGCGTTCCTCCAAGGCGGCGGTGCTGGGTATGTACTTGGATGGCCGCTCCGCCGTTGGCTGATCCTGGCTGATCCTCCGTTCTAGGGCCTGGTAACGCTCCTCGATCTCAATGGTCGACGAACGGGTCAGTGTCTTGCGACGGGGATCTCTCCTTTTACGGGCGGCACTACTCAAGCTGCTGGCTGTGGGAGGTGGTGGCTTGAAGTCTACTCTTTCCTCTATCGTCATGCTCAGCAGCTCCTTGTAGTCGTCCTTATTCTCACCTGGAATGTTGTCGTCGCGGATCTGAGGCACTTTGCCAGCTCCAGGAAGGGGATTATCCTCTGGGTTCATGGGAAGTGGCGGCAATGCTTGGTAGTCCCCATCCGCACTGTGACCCTCAACCTTTTCTCGTTCTTCCAGGTACGTGACGCTGGTCTCCGATTCCTCCTCGTTTAGGGAATAGGAGAGCTCCAGTTTGTTGGGTCGCTCGACGCTGTTGACCCTCTCGAAATACTGATTGGTCACCCCGCTATCACTCACATCGAAAGGCTTTTGCTTTTGCTCCTCCAGCAAATCTTCTTCAGAGCCACTCTTCTCCTTGAAGGTGGGTATGGGACTAATGGGTGTCAAGACGGGAATCTCTGGAAGTTCTGTGCCCTCGGAACCCGATTGAATAGCCAAGGGCTCTAGCTTGTAGCTGACGAAATCAAGTTCTTTCTCGAAGGCAAAGCGATCGCTTTCAGTGGCACTATCCTCCGCTAACTCAGTATCCTCCTTTACAGGTGGATCCTTCTCATCGCCACTATCAGTGCCCATTAGTATGAAGGGAATCTCTTGGCTGCTGGGTGCCCAGGACTTGGGTCGTTGTCTTTCCAGGCTCGCATCCCTAGAGCCACTCAATTGCTTCTGCTCCTTGAGTTTTCGGCCGAGCTTGGCCTTGTGCTTGGGACTCTTCTCGATTGACTTGGGATCATCGTCATCGCAGAGGCTGGTATCCGTGCTGGAGCCACCTCCTCCACTACCGCCTCCGACTTCCTGCTCTCCATCGCTATCCTCGCTGTACGAGGAGCTGTCGCTCTTGCCGAAGCGAGTGCGCAGTTTTTGGGTTTTAATGGAGCTAACGTCGACACCCTCCCGCATCATGGCAGCTCGATCCGCCTTGATCTCCTTCCAGGTCAGGCTGTCACGGCGTCTTCTGCTCGAATCCGTGTCTCGCCAGAGAAGGGTCTCGCCGCGGCGCAGCTGCTTCTCCGCCGCCGGCTTGGTATGGAGCACTGCGGGTAGCGAAGGCTTACGAGCTGGTGGAATGGCGCCCAAGGGAGCTCCAACTCTCTTGCCCTTGTTGGTCACGATGGCTGGTCGACCGAGTAGCAGTTGATTCACAGGCACCGCTGGCTGGGAGCTGTTCCCGGGACCTGATCCCTGTCGCGCAGCCGTAGAGCAGGCAGTGGTTAGGATGACATGAGCCTGCTTCTGGCGTTCCCTCAGCCGATCGTATTGCTTTTTCAGCAGGGAAATATCCAGTGCCAGACGATCCTTTTGCTCCGCCGGCTGCTTGCCAGCCGCCGCTGCAGGACCAACAGATCCACGTCTGCCCCAGTTTAAGCCCCAAACGGTGGCCACCGCCATGCGCTCTTCATCCGAGTGCGTATCCTCGTCGTCGTAGTAGAGCCTACAGAGGGGTAGGTGGAGTTATTAGTTAAAGATTAGAATGAGGTTTAAGAATACTCACTGCAATCCCTGCTTGTGACGCAATGGGGCAATGTTGTACAGGTGTTTGTCCCTTAGCTGTCGCAGATCCGCAATCGGTCCCAGCTTTACCACTCGTTCGATTAGGCCATTGGAGTCCACGAGATGCCCATTAAGCAGCTCACTGGAGTAGGAACCCATTTTGCCATAAAACTCGTCCGCGGAACGAACGCTGAGAACGCGCCTGAAAAGGGGTTAAGAATAAAGCTGGGTTACTCCTACTACATCATCATCATTATAGTGTTTTTAAAGCTCTGATTTCCCCAGCTAACCCTTGTCCTTGACCTCCCCTAAAACCCATTTCTGTAGTAGTTTACATTTCTACACATAGTTCAATGTCTTTCGCTTGCATTTCCCGCAAGCCTTGTTGATATTTGCAAAACTTGTTTTCCCACAGAGCCATAAAAAGCACCACCACGAACGTCTGAACATAAAAATCCTTGTGGGCCAAGGAGTGAGGGAAATGGCTAAATTGCATTTGCAAGAGAAAAACTCTTGCCAAAATTTTAGCAGCAACCTTGACACAAATTCACGCCTGCCACTGCGGCAGGGACCGCCCACAAAAGACCCAACCAAGAGCACTTGCCATGCCGCCTGGATGCACTTAGATAACGTAATAGTTTCGCATTCAATTGTAATTGAGATGCCACCGTAATTGCATTAAGTGTGGTTCTTTATCACTCATACGCAGTGGTGTCTGCGTCGATTTTATATTAAATCTAATTAAAATCAAATAATACTAAGTAAATATATACTCACTCTTCAAGCAAACTCCAAAGGACAAGAGCTGTTCGCAGTAGCACATCACTTCCCTCGATGAGGACCAAGTCCCACACTCGCAGCACACAGGACATGGGCAGGCAGGTGCAGAACATGGTGAGAAACCACTGCATGGTAAACACATTGGTCAGCGGCGGCTCAAAGGCATTCTCTACGGGTCCCTGAAGCCGCTGCAGGTGCTTCGCCAAACGGGGCAATCGGGTCTGCATCAGTTCCCGGAAAACGCCCATGTCCGCCTGCAGGCCGCCCATTGAGCCATAGAAGTAGCCCGTGGGCAGTACGCCCTCCACCAGATAGATCATGACCTTCATGGACTCCTCCTCCTCCTTGTCCATCACCTGCAGTATCAAGGCGCCCAGCATGTTGAAGCCCTGCGAGGAAGAGGCAAGGATAATGTTTAACCTTTTGAAGAGCAGAAAGCAGCAGGTCAGTGATGTGGTTTTAAGATTTTTAATGAATGATTTTTATGGTTATTTTTAGCTTTGAAGTATTTAAATGGGGAGACTAAGTAAATAATAATTACTTTACTTTTATTTATATAAATTATAAATATTTATCTGACTCTTTAGTCTGTATCTCTTTTTTAAAGCCACTTTTTACAACACTGCTGGAGCACACAAAGACTGTTTACGGAGGCACTCACCTGGCAATAGCCCACCTCCGGGTTGTAGCGCGCATAGCCAAGCAAAATGCGCTTCAGCTTGGCCTGGTTGATGGAGCCCGCGGGGCCGGTGCACAGATTCGAGCCAGTCCGGTGCAGATCCTAAACGGAAAGGGGAAGGGAGAGTGGAATCATTAAGCATTCTCTAGGGGGCGACAGCTCTTTGGTTCGTGACTGCAGCTCTCACCTTGACGATTTGGATGCCCAGCTCCTCATCGTCCTCGCGCCACTCCTCGCAAAAGCACTTCTCCCGCTGCTGGGCCCAGTCCACGTTCTTCGACTTGAGATACTTGTCCGCCAGCGAGAGCCACAACTGAGGAAGGTATCGAAGGTATTAGTAACCAAAGAAAAAAATTTCCAATTAAATTCAATGTGTTTTGTGATAGTTTTATCTTTAAACTAAATATTTTGCCTGTCAGTTTACTGAATCAGATTCCAAAGCTTTCTCTAATCCCCGTAAAATCTCACCTTGCGTCGGAACTCGGGCGGTGTGCCTCCGGGCAGGCGGGCCACCAGCTTCATGGCATGCAGCCACTGGTTGTAATCCGAGGCAGCTTCATCGTCGGCGGCAGTGGCAGCGGCTGCGGAGGCGGAGGCAGATCCGGACCCAGAGGCGGTGGCACTCGGGTTGACCTCGTGTCCTCCGCCGTTGCGGGCCAGCATGCTGCCGAAGGCTCGGGGGCTGGGGCTTCTATTGTTGCTGCCGGGGGAGGTGGTGCTGGGGCCGAGGGTGGTGCTCCGTGTGGTGATGGTGGGCGAGGTTAGGCGGGCGGAGCTACTGCTGCTGCTGCTGCTGCTGGCAATGGCTTTCTGTGGCGGTGGTGAGAGGCTAAAACGCATTTTAGGCTGTGCATCGTCTGCAAGAGTTAAGCAAAAATCTTATATAGCATACTTTGGGGCGGCGGGGCGGTATTATTCGATATGGATATATCTAGGTTAGGATCTCGGCCCTGGGCTGCTGTATCCTTTAGCACTTACAATATCCGTGCAGTATGCAAACTTTACATATATATAAGTTACAGAGTTAGTTAGTTAGTTAGTTAGTTGGTTAGTTTTAAGAGCGCGCAAAAGAGAGAAGAAGAAAGAATACAAAAGATATATGTATATATATATAAATTGGATATTCAAATATTGGTATAGCTTAGACACTTAATCAATCAAGTGCTCTGATCCAGATGGTTGCGAGAGATGGGGGTTTCTTGAGAGATTGAGATTGAGAGAGACGAAAACAATGGAGCATGCGATGCATTTGGTGCCTCGACGTCTTCGGAAAAGCGCGGGGAAAAACCAAAGTCAAGCCAAAGCGACACTGCTTCTCTGTGTTAAATTGACCATGACATTTATATCACTCGACAGAGTCATGTGTGTATGTGAAGTGCGGGCGAGGATGTTTACGTAAGTGTGTATGTCCTGAAATGCCAAACGAATGCGACTTGTTGTACAACATAGTTAGCTGCCGAGATCCTCGTCTCGCTATGCTGACATCCCGACACGAGAACAATATCCTCCTGGCTCAACTTTATCGCCTTCTAGGCTGGAGACAGCCTGCCTTCAGGCACATCCTTCCACATGTCGCCCACACACTTGGCACCAGAGATGCCATCAAAAAGTAAAAAAAATAAGGGAATTATTTATGAAAGAATAACAGGCACTACTTCTAAGAAACAATGGTATTTATAAGCATAAAAATATACAAAGCTTTTAAATAATATTAATAATATTTTCTTCTAAGCAAACATAAATCTTAAGATCAAACTTACAAATCTCGATTAAATATGTTTTCTGTAAGGTTTCCTTCAAGGAAAAGCTGGACAATCTGCCACAACTCACTCACAACACTAAAGGTCAAGTTAATATAGAAAATATGATGTCTCTGGCTGGGTTTATGATAGCAGCATAAATTCAGATTGCGTTCAGGCGGCAGCGGTTTAAGTTTTCTCCCTCCCCCCCCCCGAATCAATATTTTTCCGATTTTTTCCCAGCTTTTCGCTTGGCTTTCCGAGAGCTGCGCATTTGAATGCTCTCGTGTGGCCCATAGCCCAGCTCGCTTTATGGCTGATAATTTGATTTCCGTTTTTTATTTTTTGTACTTCCATTGCGTGTTTCAAGCTTATCAAGCGAAACGTGAGTCAAATTTTAAAGCTTAAAATCTGTTTTTTCCACCCGATATTCTGGGATAAAAATGGAAAAAATTGGGCATGGGCTTGAGCTATGTATGTATGGGAAAATAAAATTTGCTTTTTCTTAGGAATTCCTTGGGAAATTGGTGTAATTGTTTGCGTTGAATGTTGAAGGCTGCGTATGCGAGGAATTAATGTGAAGCCCCAAGAATGGGCAGTCAAATTTTTTTGCAAATTAAATTTGCAGACGGAAAAAAGCCTCTTTTTGTGATTGCTTTTACAGTGGAGCATCTTTGAATTTAACTTTTTATTGCAAAAAAGGGTTAAAAAAAGATTTAGGAAGAGGTTTTCCATAATAAATAATGCCCAACTATACTTAAAATAATAAAAAGTCAATGGGTAAACCCAAGAAAATATGTTTTCTTTCCGGGAATAGACTGTTTTTGCCTTTCCGTTTGATTTCCCTTAGCTACATCGATTAAAGGATGTTTATGTTGGGATACTTTCAACTGTATTTGCCCGCATGATTGCTTGGAATTCTTATTTACTTGCCTTGGCATCGCTTATTTACATACTTATGCAAATCCTCACATATTCCTTCCTATGTCTAGATGTGCGTGTGTGTGTGCTTTGCCCAAGATGTTTTGGTCCTTCGAAGGCATTTGCGTAATGAAGAGGCAGTTGGAAATTGCCTTTTGCTGAAAGTTAAAGCTAAGCAAACATTGCCTTGTTTACTCCCAGGAAATTGGAGAGAAGATCCTGGGTGAGAGAGGCAGAGATGGTGAGCCTCTTGAGCCAGGACTCGGCAGCCAGACCTGGGGGCTAATGAAATACTAATTGCACCGACTCTCTTATGTAATGGGGCCCCTAACTTCGCACCAATTAGGCGCCGGACGTAAAGCATTCTTTATGACCGTAGGAAGGACTACCGTCGCGCGGGACTCATATTTATTTTTTTTATTATTTATTTCCCGCACAGTCCAAGTGCATTTTCCATGAGAGATTTATGTGCGACTGACAATGGGAAGCCCCTCTTTTTCCTTATTGTGTGCAAGTGAGTGTAATTATTTTAAATGCTCCTCGGGCTGCCCCAAGGACGCAGTAGTGTGTATATGCCTGCCTGTGAGCGTGTCAAGGCTCGCATTTTGGCCAACTGTTTGGGCCTTGACCAAATCTAAACTTTGAGCCAGCATCACGTGCGTGCTGCCCGTGTGCGATGTATGCTTGTGCGCCCTGTGTGTGTGTGTGTACTCAACAAAGAAAACACGTAAAGCCCGAAAGTTGGTTTAATGAGCCGAAAAAATATGGGTCCTGTCAGCTATTTATATAGGTGGACAAAAAGGAAAAAAGAAGGACGGCATGTTGATGGTTATGGCCCTGGCGGAAAATCATTCTTAAATCAAGAATATGGTCCCTAGAGAAATATTACCAAGAGCAGCGAGGTGGCAAAAGTCTTAGAAATATGAGAGACTTTAAGAGGAAAATATATATTATCTTATTCTACAGTTATTTATATTTGCTGGCTAAAGAAATTGCTGAAAAATATATGTTTATGTAGTAAAACAATTAATATTCTTATCTTTCCCACCTAAAATCCTACTTAAATTCTTAATTTAAACATAAACTGCAACTTAAGCCATGTTTTATCATTTTATGCAAACATCTCCAGCATAATCTTAAACCAGAAACGTTGTCCTAAAGTTTTTATTGTACCCTAACTCTCCTTTGAAGCGAAACCGACGCAAAACATTTTTAGTACGCCAGACTTCAGCTTAACTTAAGTTCTGCGTCCCTTTTTATTTGCCACCTTTTTCGCCGTTCAAAGGAGATTTTCCTGACTTTATGTAATGCCCATGTCCCCCTATTCAGGCGCCTGAAAGAGGAGTCGTACTCAAAGAGTATTTATCCCACGGGATGGCATGACCCCAAAAACGAGGGGCGTCCGACTGTCTGGGATGTCCTGGAGGCAGCATGGCCACTGCAGTCTCCAATGCGCAGGCACGTTCAGGGCCATTAGTGTCAATTCGGGTGGCGGGAAGCTGCTAATGAATTCCCAAACGTCAGCCAGGATAATATATTTAATCCTGGTGGCTGGTTCATTAAACTATTGCAATGCTTAACCCAAATGATTATCGGCTTAGCGATTGCAATTCGCTTTTATCACGCGGCACCCAGACAAAAAGTCCTTCAGCATGCGATTATGCAAAAGGACGAGACGAGAAAATGGGGCGAAAAAAAATATAAAAAGGGGATTTGCGAAGCGCTGCTTTTGATGGCTCACATAACGGCTCCCCAAGGAAGAATCCTGTTGCTGCTGCATTTTTCGCAATCTCAACACGTGTTGTCCTGCGTTTAACTTTGATTAAATTTTTTTGATTGCCCAAAAGCAGCATTACTCATACGCCACGTGGGTCCGCTTGCAAAACGAGGGAACGAGCGAACGAGCGAGGGTCCTGCCACACGCAAAGCCAATCAATTTGCATCAGAGGAATGAGATCCCTGTCAATTCCAATAAGCCCGGCTCTCAAAACTTAAGTGAACAGTGTGTCCTGCCAAAAGCAAGCTGGTTTTCTTCTTTTTTATTTCCATTTTCCGCTCAATTTTTCCTGCTGCTGCAGCTACAGAAGTTTGATAAGGGATCTCTGTGCCGGTGACAGGCAACTTGGTCGTTCTTATTTGGCATTCTTTAAAACTTTTAGGGAAATGAGTTTCTTACCCAATTCAGAGCTGGTAGTTGAATTTCCATGAAGAGCCAAGCTCATTATGGGCTTGCCATTGGTTAAGCCTGAAATCTCTTTCAATCAACTTCAAGGTGAATGCAACAATTTCTGCTCACAAAAAGTCGTTTTGTTTGGGCTTAAGTTTTCCATTTGGGGGATTTACTTGATCTGACATTATGTTTAATGATTAAATGGTAAGTAAAGAATTAAGGTTTTAATGTAGGGCAGATAAATTTTTGTTTTTTAAAGGTTAAAGAATGTTTTTATCATAATAATATGGGAATTATAAACCTTTGCTTTTACTTGTATGATAATTAAGAGCATAATTGAGCCTTAAATTGGCCTTTTAACAAAGATATTATTATTATTCTTATGTGAAATATTAAATATTATTTCGAAAGCCTAAATAAAATATGAAAATTTCATAATCTTACTGCTTAATCGACTGAAATAAATGCTACATTAGTTTTTTAAGAGTTCTACTACAAACACTAACAGTCTCTCTTCTCCTTCAGATTTCCCTAACTTCCCAGCTTAGAAGATTATATTATCATCCCCTCGAACTAAGCGACTACCCACAGAAACCCTCACAACTGGCACACATGTGTGCACCTGTCGAATGTCCTGGCACCTTTTCATACTTCTCGCCCACTCGACACTCGTGTCACTTTGCATCGCCATAACTAACCTCGTTCACTCGGTGAAAAGCAAACTGCGACGCAGTAATTACAACTTGATGGGGATATGTGGGAGGTGCTTTTGGAATTTTGAAGGCAGAAAATAAAGAAAAATCGTATCAGAAAGCAAAACAGGAAGCACGGCAAACAAAAACACCGACACGTACACGCTCACAGGCAGAAAGGCAGGCAACACGCGTGTGTTTAGTGAAGGCAGCAGAGCGTAAAATGATTGCTGAAAAGGTGGCAAAAAAAAACATCAGGGAAGACAACAGCAACAACAACTTGGCCAACATGCAACAGATGTGTGTGTGTGTGTGATGTGCGTGGGGTGAGAGGTCATAGGACAACGATTATCGAAAAAGTACAACTAAAAACACAGAACAGCAGCAGCAGCAGCAGCGGAAAATTCAAATAAAGTCTGTGCACTGCCCCCGGGTATGAATAAATGGGTTAAATGGAAAGGGGCGTGGCATGCCTCTGACATGGCGAAATGGAAATTTATGCCCGGCAAAAAGGGGAACCGAAGCCCTTGCCCTACGAAAATGCAAATGTTAATTACAGGCGGCCGCCAAAATTAGAACTGTGCGCGTTTAGCATGAGTAATATGTACGAGTTAATGCCTCGATGTGTTTGTGGGTGGCAGGGGTGCCCCTAGGGCGGACCTTAGTTGAAAGGGTAAAATTCTAAAGACCATTTAAAAGTTTGTATAAAATTCAGCTAAAAATAATTTTAATCCTTGTATAAATTTGTTAAAAGAAATGTATGAAACTAATGGTCTAGAAATGAATTAAGTATGAAAAGGTATATCACGCATACGCAGTGTTGACCAAAGACTATTTACTGTAGTTAAAAACCTATTTAAGAGAGTTTAAATTCTGTCATAAATAGCTTAACTTGATTTTTTATTTAAATATCTGCTTTAAAATATTAAAATTCAGTTAAGAAATGGTTACTTTAGCAGAGTCTTTCTGCTCAAAGCTCCTTTGACCTTTTCAAAGGTTTAAACTACCAACTTCCTAAATTATAAATAAATATTCTCCAACATTTCCACAGAAAAAGCCATGAGATAACTAACCATTTTAAGTGGAAATTTAATTTAAAAATGGTTCCAGAAAATTTCTCGTTTATTTAGGTCCGCCCCAGCATTAGGATGTGTGCTCAACGAATATTGTATGAAATATGCAGCAGCTTTTCGCTTCAATTTCTTTTGCATAAATTACCTTTTCGTTGTTATTTGGTTGGTTTTTATCGTTGTTAAATAAATAAGGCGAAGAAAGAGAAAGACATAGAGAGAAGGCAAGAGTTAAGGCTTTGTTTAAAAACGAGCAAACAGATCGAAGAAGGCAAAGCAAAGTCGCTATGTTTTTTTTTTGTTGTTTGCTTTGAGTTGCGCTAAAAAACACAATAGTTAAAGTACATCGATCGGAGACATGGGAAGTATGTTAATATATATATAAATATACACACACCAAGAGACAAACAGAGAGAGACATAGGGTGGGTGTTAGCTGAGGTGTGTGCGACTTGGCATAGTTACCCATGTTAAGTTAACGTGCGCCTGACGGTATGCTATGCTTTCTGCCAGTAGTTGCCTGTAGTTATTGGTAGTTTTTTCTTGTTGTGGGGATTCTCTATTTATGGTTTTACATTTTTGCTTTTACGCTGTACTTGTTGTTGCTGTAGTAGTAGTAGTAGTAGTATCAGTTGTAGTAGTAGTTGTTGCTGTGGCCTATTGTATTATTTACACAAGATTTACATATAATGCACAGAGATACACTTACACATAGGCATGCACAGAAATATATATATATATAGGTGTATAGACGTATGAGATTATTGAGCTATTTGCATAGGTAGTTGTATCATGCTGAAGTTATATAAGACTCAGACACACACAGAGACAAACACCCCAGACTCGGCTGTCATTGAAAACTATTTTCTTTGCCTCGCAGAGGAACTCAGAAAACATTCACCAACAACACTCGCACGAATTCGCATACAAAAATGGGGGAAAACCTTGACAACTAAGAACTGCAGACCCAGTTCTCAAAGCTTGGCCAGGTGACTGCTGACTTGGATGGGGGAAAAAACACAGAAAAAACGGACACTAAAAACCGTCTTAGGGGTGCAGTCAGAGAAAAAGAGTTCAGCTATTAAACGAAGTAGATAAATTTTACTGAGTAATTTATGAGATTTTCTATGAAGCTTAAACTGTAAAATAAAATTATTAAAATTATAAAAAATTGGTTTTTAGAGGCAATAAATATTTTTTGAAATAAATATAATATTAAAATACCACAGAAACTGGTATAATATTTTTAGTGTCCTCTTTTTATTGTAAAAATCTTCATTTAATGGAAAAGTGGAACCTCTTCATAGATTTTTAAATTCTTTATAAATTTTAAATTTTAAATATATATCTAAATTAAATTTCTTTTGTTTTTTTCTCCCCGTATAACCATGCCATTGTACAACTTGTGTGTGGCACTCATCGATTGCCCGCCTTACTGGCCACTGTCTTGACCCACTTTTGTTGCTACGCTTGCGTTTACGTTCTTGCCAAGTAATTACCTGTGAGCCGGAATTCGCATTTTAAAATTTCATAGCATTTCATAGCATTGGAATGTATTAATTCTGCAGGAGCAGAGTCCTCTCTACACTGACAGGTCTTAGCAGCTCTAATGCCTCAGGATTGTGGCCTTGGGTTTTCGGTGGAGGAAAGGTAAACAGAGCTTGAAGCTCCACGTGGCATTTAATTAAGACCGGAGGAGCTCAGCAATAGAAAATGGAAACAGAACTTGTGGTATTTGTAATGCGGTTATTAATCGAGGGATGAGCTCAAAGTTTCTTTCAAGTTTGCCTTCATTAAGTCGGTTTTATATAGTCTATCTACGACCAACTGCTGCATAACGGATTGCCGTGGTTTGGCCCAGATATATGGATTAAAGCCGTGCGCGGCCTTCAACTCTTCCGTTTTGGTCTTTTTTTTTTTGTGGGACATTCTTTGTAGTTATGCAATCCACAATCAACTACGGCTCATGGTTTTTTTTGTTGTATTTTTTTGTAGCCAAACAAAAAGCCAGTTTGTGGGCCTTTTTGCAGGGCGAGTGTGAGAGTGAGTGTGAGAGGCGTGACATGAATCACACTCAGAATCGCATTCTGAACAACAATGGCCAAGAGTCACCTCACATGGATGTGTGTGTGAAATATAAATCGGAGGCTAGGAGGGGCACAAAATGGCGCGCCAGGTTGCAGTTTTAATGAAATTTTCGATTGCATGCTTTTAGGCACAGTGCCTCCCGAGTTTTTAATTGCATTCGTTCGATCGATAAAATTGCATTATTCAATTACCCGAAGGGGAATTCAATTAGGCGGCTGACTGCCACTGCCTTCCCGCTAGTTATGTTAAATAATAAATAAATAGAGTTTCTGCGGCGAATAAGTGAAATGATAAATAAATAAATACATGCTGAACGGTGGCACGCTACATTTTCCCATTTTTGCACGCGCTTCTTTTTTATTTTTATGGCTCTTGTTTGGTTACCACCATTGGTATTTTGGTCTGGGAATATCAAGGGTAACACACACACACCCCCCACGCACACACACACACCCCTAGAGATATAGAGACAACGTTAGAAGAGAGAGGCAGAGGAGAGATACAAAAACATAGATAAGACTGGCTAAAATGCTCGTGGAGGCCAACCTACACACGCTTGTTATTTCAAACCGCTGGCACACACACACACACGCACACTCATACACTGCCACAAGCACCCACACTTGCTTAGATATTTTTTATAAATTTTTTTTTGTACATTTTCTTGGTATTTCTGGCCCCGTCTGTGTCGTCATCAACTCAACCTCCTGAGCTTCACCTGCCCACACCAATACACACACAAACACACACACACAGGACACAACAAAGTTCATTCAATAAAAGACAAACACACACACACACACATACATGCACGTTGCGTGACGCTAGCGAGGATTTTTTCAGCGTTCAGCGTAGAGCTTTTCTTGGCTTTTCCGCCTTCCGAGTTCCGCACTTCACGATCCACACAGCTGAGAGTTCCGCACTTGACTGAGGACTGCGGCAGCTCCGGCTATAAGGCAACCGAGCCCCCCAGCTGTCAGTCTGGAGTCTGCGCAGTCCCCAGTCTGAATCCTCCCACTCACGCACACTTTGACATTTGATGTACTCGAAAAAATTAAGGGTTATAAAGAAATATTTGTCTTTTTTAGAGAATACTTTTTATGAAGTTTAACTAACTTTAGCTTTAACCTGAAGTAAATTTGTAACCACCTTAAAAATTTGATCTTAGCTTAAATCTCAGCTTGTTCTCACCACTCTCCACGACGAGCACAGCGGTAACGAATTCACAAAGCACCTCCTGATGGCGTTGCAAGCGATCCCTGGCTAACAGGACTCTTTCCAGCAGGTAACCGATCATCAGGATCTCCACCTTGAGAATGGCACACACATCGATGAGCTTGCGCACACTCAGGCGCTCCAAGGTGGACCGATTGCCGGTCATGCCGCTAACCATACGAGCCAGTTGTCCCTTCTGCTCCTTCGGACTCTGCAGATCCTTGCTGCAGTGTTGCCTAATCTGGGCCAACTGTTCCTGCCGGCCGTAGATCTCGCACAGCAATGCATCGAGTAGCTTCTTGTTTTCACTGGGAACAGCCCTCAGAGCTCAGTACTTATCGAACTTATGCTAATGCTCACCTCATTTCGGCTACTTGCAGATAAGACTCGGCGGTGGGTGCACTTGATTTACTTTAAATTTAAACATTTGCATTGAAATCGTGTTTTATGGTGTCTTTATGCTTGTTATTTTTTTGGTAAACGCAGAAAACTTAACGAAGAACTTGAAAAAACATAATAATCAGAGCAGGGAGACAGTTGTGCGTAGTAGTTTACATTTTATACTGATTAATATTTATAAGAGTGCTTTATGCAGGTAAAAGTTTCAAGGGAAATACCTCAAAGTATATATTCCCTTTTAAAATTATTATTAAAATTAAACACAACTTTTTGAATTTTTTAAGTGTTTTTAATTTTTATTCATTAATTTGTTTTTGCAGCTGCTTTTTGTGTTGGGCGAAGTTTTGGAAGAGAATATTTCACTTGTTGACCAGCAAAAAATTTGAAAATTGCATAGAAACCCATAAAATTGAGTGTAAACCATGAAGATTCCATGGGCTCAATAGAAAGTGCGATCGATGTGGGTGTTGAGGGAGAAATTGCGATACATGCCGAAGCGGGCCACTTCGTTGGAGAAAGTCTGGGGCAGCGGATAGTAGCGTTTGGGTATGGTATATGCATTGGGTGCATAGTAACCGTACTCCGAGTTGCAGGTGCGGTACATGGTATTGGAGTCCGTCTCCACGCCATAGCCCTTGAAGGCATCTAGAAAAGATAATAGAATAATTATTACAAGACCTTCTTTAGGCTAAATTCCAAAGGATTTACTCACAGGGACACTTGATATCCTCCCGCTTGTGCAGATTCTCATAGAGCTTGGCTGTCCTCACCACCGGCTTGCGTTTCTGGAACTTGGCAAACTCAATCTGAGGATTGAAGGTCTCAAACTCATCGCAATATTGTTCGCACATTTTTGGAAATTTAACAAATATTTAAACGCGTCGTGTTGTTTTTGGGGTCTACAGATCCGATACCAATTTAACTTTGGCTACTTCTTATTGAACAAACTTTTGGCACTTGCCGCCGAGGTTGCTAAGTTGTTTGAATTTTGACAACTCCAGCGCCTGCGCATTGCAAAACCGCTTTGACACTGACAGTTGGGGTCTGGCCAAAACCCACCCCGCAAAAGAAAAATACACAAATAACCAATTCAACACACAACACTTGGGTTTTGTTTTTCGGAATGTACAGGATGTGCAATTTCTCGAATCTATTGAACTTTATCATCTGCATTGCCAGCTTTAGCCAGAGCTTTGATGGCATTTTGGCGGTGAAAAGGGGTCCACATCATCCCAGGGGCGAGACCCGGAGAGTGGACCAGCATCTTACCCATGAGGAGCAGTGAGTTCGGGGGGGTCATTGAGACTTTATTAATTTGATTGTGGAAAAAAATTTTAAACTAAGTATCTTTGGAGAGCAATTAAGAGGAATTTCTTAAAACTTTATATATCTTTTGAATTTTAATAAAATAATATAAACACTTATCTTTCAGTCGCATTGATGATGACCTGAGGGACATGGGTGTTCAGGCCAGCCTGGAGGATATGAGCGAGGAGGAAAAGATATTCTACATGTTCAAGGTGAGTAAATTGCACTTTTAAAAGTAAATTCTATAGAGTCTATTTCCAACTTTAGGCCCATGACAATGATAATAACAATGCACTCGATGGCCTAGAGATGATTCAGTCTGCCATGCATCACAACTATGACTACTTCAAGAATAGCGAAAGGGATGAATACTTGCAAAATGCCACTGATGAGTTGGAACACTTTATAGGTAAACAATTTGTAACTTATCTAATCTGTAGAAAGTCAAAGAAAGATTTTAAAATAAAAATTCAGAAGCTTACCTTATTTGAATAATTTTAAAAGTCCAGTGAAACCCTTTAACTCTTTTTTATTACTAAATAAAGTTTTATTTCACCCACAGAGGCCATTGACAAATTTTTACTTATCGCCGATGACAACAACGATGGGCTGCTGCACTACCCGGAATTCGTAAAGGCCATAACCGGTGGCAAGGAGCAGCTGAATGTGGACCGTAACATCCTCCGCTAATCCTCTGACAGAATCTAAACTGGATTAGCAGTCAAAGGGCAACCAAAGTAGACACAATAATAGACATAGCTTAGTTAAAATATTTAGCAACTAATCTGATTTCCATGCTGAACCATTTGAGACTGTACACCACGAGCAGCTAACCGAGCACTAACCTGCACTTTGTTTTGTACTACAACTTAATGATTTAATATACATTTTAATTGATACATAAATAGTGTTTTGGTTTGAAGTAAGATCAGAGCATTCCATCGCACTTGTAGGTGGTATTGCAGTTGTCTCCCCGATAGCCATTGTGGGCGGATTTCTCCATCAAGACTATGAGATCTAAATATCGGGGTTTCTCTACAGGTGCCGAGCTGGAATTTAAATTATTTATTATTTATTATTATTATAATAATAAAAAATATTTTAAATTTTCTTACCCTTGAATTAGCTCAGTTAGTCCCAGCAAATGTCGTCCTGCCCTTGCATAAGCATAGGCTGCATTGGGACAGGCGCAAGATGCTGCTTGGAGGCACTCATCTTTGCCTGTTCCTTTGGCAGCTAGAAATCCTGTAATCAGATAATCATCTCCAGGGTTTAGACCCAGGGAATAGTCATAGCCTCCTCCTGCAGAACGTCCATAACCATTGCCATAACCAGTCCAGTGTCCAGCTCCCAGCATGCCAGCCGTAAAGATGAGCACTTTCAGTAAAATTATAATCAGCAGATTGGTTAGATTCAGACTGAGGACCTGTGGGAGGAAAAAGGTTATCAATATTTAAAAATTGTTTAAAAATTCCCTTATAGAATATTAAACACACTTTCGAACTGAATTTTAGGTATACAACATTCCACAACCCTTCACCTACTTGACTGTTTCCTGCAGACCGATGTAGCAGCTCCTTGGCCACTTGGATGACCACATGGCCTGCGGTGCCGCCCAGCATGCTGTGGGCATTCCTCAGCCAGGAGAAGGGTTTTTCCGTGACTACGATTTCTTCCCCATCCAGTTCCTCTTCCCCACTGATGTTGTTGCTCATAGTGTCATTATCCGAATCCAAGTCATAGGATTGCAGCTGATAACTGGCTGCCTTGGAAAGATGCAGGAAACTAAAGAAAACCAAGAAAGCAACGATGGTGTAATCCCAGCCTGGTTGTGGCATCTTGTAGATCGCGTGTGTCTGCAGCGAATGTGTCGTGTTTGAAGACTACTTTAAGCCCTGAAAAATACCCTCCTTTTATATGTCCGTAGCCCAGATGGCTAATAATTCCGCCATATAGCAGGTAGTCGAGCAGATCAGCGGCAGGTATAAGCACATTATATGGGCAGGCCTCGTTGCTCTGGAAAAGCGGATCAGAGACAGAGCTAGTGAGAGTGTTTTTCCTGGTGTCATCAGCCTAAGATTGCCGGCGTCGTCGTTTTTCCGCTAGAAGGATTTCCCACTAATGTCAATGCTAACTCGATTCCGCAGGTAAATGCACGCGAAATTGTGCGTAGAGTGGAAAACAATTTTAGTCTTTGCTTTTGTATCAATCATCAACTCATTTATTGTTACTTTGGTTTTGGTTTTGGGATTTGCTTAGCCATTGCTGTTCATTGGAGTAATTTATAGTACTTGTATGTATATATATATAGATTTGCAGTAAATTTTGTGAGTAGCAAATGGGGTTTATTTTTGGTTTCGGGTAAACGTTTTCTTCTGGAGTCTTTTGGGGTACGGGGGGAAGGTGAATCAATTACAGACAACATATAAATACATATATCTTCGCTATACTTTCACAATAATACGAGTATTTATTTTGTATATTTTGCAACAGATTAGAAGTCGTGTAAGTTATATGCTTTATGCTTGAGTATTTCGTTTGAATTTCAATTTACGTTTTCAGCACTTTCATTACATTTGGTTTCACTTGATGTACGATATAGTTATGGGGTGTGTGTGGGAGCCGTGGGGTCGAGTGCCATGATATATGTGTGTGTGTATGCTCGATTGATGCCCGTATTTATTTCCGTTTTGTTCTACATTTTTGTCGTTATAAATATATGTATATGTTTATAAAACATTTGTGAATATGTGCCAGTTCGATTAAAATGATGATGTTTACGATTACGAAAGTACGCGTAGCCAAAGAGTCACTTATAACTTACATATATATTTAATATATAAATATTTTTAGAGAGAGAGAGAGATGGTAGGATGATATAGCATGAAGGGGAAAATATCATTGTATAGTTGTAAATTTGTTTAGGTTAAAATATTTGTAGCTACAATCGAAGAGAACGTAACAAGTATTTATCTGCTTTAAAATTCTCTACCTCAGTAATTAGTTAGTTGATTAAAAGAGAAGTGGAAGTATACAACCCAATCGTAACTATATTTTCCTCAAATATATATAACATATGTAAAATTGTCTATTGCTCTAAATAATGCTCAAACATGTGCGTAACAGAAGAACATTCATTCAAACATTTGTGGCTAAATCATAGAGTAAGCTATTGTGTATACTTTGAATGTTTAATATGACTTCGTTGTCGCTTGCAACATTTATAAATATTTATTTATTTATGTATATATATATTATCTAAGTATTCGTCAATATCATTCCGTTCTCAAACCGCTTCCTGTACCGACTAAGCCGCGTTTATAGATCGCCATATTCGAATATGTTTGGTTCGTTATTCAGCCTAGGTTAACATTGCTTGTCGTGGTTGGTACTCTGCCATGTCTCTCATATACTCGTCTCCCGCATCTTCTTTATCGTTTTGAATGCTTGTAAACATTAACTGCTAATACATCATAATAATAATCATAATATTTGTGTTAATAAACATTTAATTTGTGTGTGAGTAGCTTTGTAGTCGTGTGTTTCCGTGTGTGTCTGGTATGTAACATTTGCTCATAGTAATTCCCGAATACATATATAGTTCGTTAACCGATTTATCCATTATAATTATGTTCGCATATAGATTAGTATTAAACATTCGCCCGTTTGTTATACTCTGCGCATATTGTCTTTAATTTTATATAGTATTAGGATTTTTTATACGTGTCTCATGTTGGTTTTTATATATAACAAATTCATTAATATTTGGATTTATTTAAAAGTTCTCCCATGTCAACATGTAATATACGCTTGCGAATATTTTGTCTCAATTTAATATGTTGGTATATAATTCAATATTCTTCTCAATAATATATGTGTATGTATACTTTCTTATTTTTGGAAAATCTTTCAAAATGCCTTCAAGTATGTGTAATTAAATAGGTTCCTCCTTCTGCCAGATTCCCATCTTCTATATATCATGCTGCAAAACCAGTCAAGTCATCGGTTAAGTCATTATCTAATGGGCCTTGCATTATTGTGTTGCTTTGGTGGTTATATTTATAGATTAGTAGTGTTCTACAGTGTCTACATAGCATTATCTGCTGATGAGGGTGAGTATCCTTATGGCTTAGATGAGGGAATAGGGATAGTCGATGGTCAAAAGAATAGTAACTAAATGAATGAGCGAGTGTGTGGATGCTTAGTGTTCATCATTCCCATGAAACCAGGAAACTTCAGAGGCAGAAAATAGATAGTTTTCCGTAGTTTGCTTGTGGTGTATAGTGTGTGTGTTATGTTTTGTGAGTGACTGGTGATACCTCCTCTACTCTTCCCTTCACTTCAAGTCCAATTCATCATCATCCTCCCTATTGGCACTCCAGCGCTTGGTATGCGATCCAATGCTGCTCACACTGCCGGAATCGCTAAAGTCGCTGAATGCTGCATTCTGAATGCCATCGTAGATCTTATATCCTCCGGCTCCGGATCCATTGCCGGAACCCACTCCGCTGGAGCTCATGCTCATGCTCTTGGCTGCCCCAAAGCGATCGGTCTTGTAGTTGGAGGGCGGCCCTCCAAAGATCATGTCGGCATCTGAGATGGATCCCGCTGCCCGGGTGTATTTACCATTGCCATAAGAGGCTGGCGTGGTCTTGCTATCCCCAAAAATCAGGTCCAGATCCGACTGCTTGGAGGCTGCAAGAATCGGGTTAAGAAATTAGTTAGGGAACGAATGAGTTTAGGGGGACAAGGGTGCACATCAATTTGGCGTGGGTGCAGTTTCTTTGGCACTTATCATTAGCACTACGTGAGCCAATAATGGAGCTTTACTTTTAGGTATGCAGGAGACGATCAAAGGGGGTAAGTACTATTATTAATAAATAATTAAAGTAGCCTCTTCGATCGTCTCCTTGTATTTTGATTCTTGACTTTGGTGATGGAGGATGAGCAAAATAAGCGTTACCAAAAACCAAGCTTTATCAATGTGTTTAGTGAATGAAAATGCCAACTGATTTGCAAGGTTTAACCCTCTTTTCCGGACTGATTGATAACTTTTTTTTTTTAGCGGGGAAAGGCTCATCTTTTTTGATAACTCTACATTTACTGCTATACACACACGCACACACAGACGCACTAAAACTGAAAAATGGTTGCACTAGTATTACTAAGGAAATTTTGATTTTTTTTTTATACTAAAAGCTTGGATTACTCTTGTGGTGTTATATTTTCTGGATTTTCTGGTTGTTTGTTGTTGTTTCTCTTGTTTCACTGGTTGCGTGCCCAAAAAGCCAGAACTGAACTCAGGTTTGCGGTGCACTCTAGCGAGTGTGTACTGTACTGTACTGTACTTCTGTTTGTATATATATTAGACTTCTGCATGAGTGTACTCATTTGTAGCATAACAGATCTGTACAGTAGTGTAGAGTTCTTAAAAATACTGCACCCAATCCTTTCTGTACAGTATGCTCTATAGGCCAGAAGTAGATAGCACAACACTTTTAGTGTGCCCACTTTACGTGAGTGCAGTATATGGTTGTACCCTTCGGGAGTGAGTACTATATTTGCTGTACAGCTTGTTAGTTGTACAACTTGTTAGTTGTATGTGTACAACTGTGCAGATGAGTTCAGTATTCTTCAATAAGTGCATAAAAATGGTACATAAAATAATGTTTCTCCATTCTAATATTAAAAATTTAAATATAAATTCTTTAATAAAATAAAATTCTTTATAAGAAATGCATAGTACACACGAGAACTCTATATGTGTGCATGTACCAGTCATGAAGTTTCACTCACTGTACAATAAGTCAACTGCACACCAAAACACTGTACAGTGCCTTGACTACTACACACCATTTTTGCTGTACTCATAAACAGCTGTACAACTATGGAATGAGTGAGAAAACTGTCTGTCAAAACAGAAAATACTACCCTACTCACTCACACCCAAGTATACTGTGCAGTAAAAAGTGTGTTCCCGTTTCTAGAATAAGTGATTCATTTGTCATTTTGGATGCATTCATGCAGAAGTCTAATATATATATAGTATTTATTTCGAGTGTGTGTCTGTGTGTGTGCAGGCAAGCGTTTTAGCATCGCTGGAGGAGACTTACAAACACTTGAGCGGCTCGCATGTCGTATACGTAATATTTGGCTTACTCACTGAGCTTGGAGAAAACCCGAGCTAGGAAAATCAAAAGCAGTTAGGCTAAATCATGAACACATGTATAACTCCTAATTGGTTCTCGTTACTTTTTTTTGTTTGGCTAACACTTTGACACGGCTGCCTACTTGGCTAGCTAGGGATTAATCGATTACACTTAGTTGGTCTCTAAATATTCATATATGGGGGTGTAGCTGATTAATAATGAGATTAAATGGCATGATATTATATATATATATGGTATAGATATATATCCTCTAGGTCTTTCGCAGCGTCAGGCTGACCAGCAGTACGCCCACGGCTAGATAATTACCATTGCTCTCGGATCGCGAGTACGAGGGCCGGGTGTACGAGGGCAAATCGCTGGGATTGTTCAGGCCGCCATCCTGCGAGGCAATCGAGTTGGAGTCGTAGCCGGAGGTGTCTCCGGGCAAACCGGTGGTGGTCACCGCAGCCGGTGCACTGTACACGCTGGCCGAGCGCATGCCAATGGCCGATCTCCAGTCATTGGTGGTGACCGAGGTGGTAATGGTACCTTAAGAATCCAATTATTTAATTACAAAATTTTTAATTTCAAGGATATTTCTTACCTGTTACAGGAGCTATGGTTCCTGCTCCTGCACTATTGCTAATATTGGTAATGGCCGTAATGCCACTGGCCTCTCCAGCCTCCGTGGCCGTGGCTCCTGTGTTCGTGGTGTTTGTGTCCATGCGCGTGATGGTCTCCACCGAAGTGCTGCTGCCATAGTTGCCATAGCTGGTCTTGTCCTTACTCAAAGAACTGCTGAAGCTGTTCCTATAGCCACTGGAGCTGTTGGCATTGCTCACATGGCTCACATGACTGGGTGGCGGCGGTGGTGGACCCGCCGGCGGTGGTGGACCCGCCGGCGGTGGCGGGGACTTGATGGGATTGCCATTCCGATTGATGCGCGATGAGATGGAGGAGGACGACATCGAGGATGAGGAGGATGCTGTATTGATGCTGGCTCCACTAGCCGACTTGTGCGGCTCCTTGTCAAAGGGATTGACCCGTTCTTGGGGCTCAAAGTTGGTCACCGGCTGATAACCGGCTCCAGCTCCGGCGCTATCTGTATTCGTATCCGTAGTTTTTGTACCGCTATCCGAAACGCTGCTGCTGTTAATGGCCGGCGGAGCAGCTGGTGGCTCCTGAGTGGGCTGGGTGGAGATCACTGCCCCACCGCTGCTGCCGCCACCGCTGGCGAACGAGAACTGCTTGCCCAGGAAGGAGCCACTGAAGCCGCCGCCACTGCTTCCCGGTCCGGCGCTGCTGGGCACACTGCCCGGCCCGCTGCCGCTGCTCGTCTCGCTGGCCGTTCTGCCGCGCTTCTTGTTAGCGATTTCCTACATGTCCCCGAATATCCCCGCAAAGGTCTTCCTCAGGTTCTTCATGGTATCCTCGGCGTCCTCCACAACCGAGCTCTGGGTCTGTGCCGGCGCTGGCCGCTGTCCTGGCGCCCGGGACACCGAGGAGATGCTCGAGGCCTGCGAAGTCTGCGAATCGCGACGCACTCCACCCACTGTGCTGGGTCCTGTTCCTGTCGAGGAAGAGGGCTCCTCCGGCAGCTCTGAGATGCTGCTGCGGCTGCTCAACCGCCCAATCGAACCCACGGCCGGTGAGGTGCGCTCCGGAATTGGTGGAGGTCCACCCATGGGCGCCGGTCGTGGGCCAGCCGGTAGCGGCGGAGTGGGTGCCATGCCCTCGTCCGTGGGACTCTCGGCCCGCGAGGAGACCGAAGAGCGGGAGGGCAGCTTGCCGGGTCCGGTCTGGGCCATGCTGGGGCGGCAGACGTTCTGAAAAAGTTAATGAGTCATATAAGAATATATCTAATGAATTTCCCTAGAGATTTCCACCCACCTGCATGCGACCTGAAACCAGATCTGCAATCTGCCTACGATCCTCCTCCTGAGTGTCTCCGATCAGGGCAAAAGTGCTGTCGCAGGCACTGATGATGTACTCGCGTCCATCCTTGGCCACCACAACGGAGAGACCACACACCTCCATGCCGCCAAAGAGCTCGGATATCTGAAATGGAAACCAGCGAGCATTATTATCCGATTAGAGCTCCAACTGAGTCATGACCCCAAAATGTGTTTTCGATTGCAGTTTGCAGTTTGCATTTTGCAATTGCAGGCGCAGTCACTCAGTCGCTCAGACGGGAACCAACGGGCTCAAACATTTCTGTGTGGGCTTCGCCTGTACAGCCGCTGCTGCCGGTTTTAATTACACAGTTTGTTTTGATTAAAGCTAATGCTAACGCTAATGTCGATGCTGATTCCGATTCCGACTTGCCCAGAAAAGCGCTGACGTCGACGCGCAACGTTGACGAAACACCCACTTATCAGGGCACTCAAAAAAAAATGTGTTTGTCAGATATTAAAAGGAAAATGTAGTAAGTATTTTAAATAGACATTACAACTTTTGATTTAGGTTTTCTACATTTTAAAAATATGTTTTTCCTTTGATAAATTATTTAAATAATATTTAAATGAAAAGTAAATTATAACACAAACATGGTATATGCGGAGGAACTTTGAAATGTAAATAATATTAATCATAGATTTTTTTTTTCAATTTATTTACACCATAATAAATTCTTAAACTTTCCAATGGCTCCCCTTTATGAATGAATCTGAGTTTTAAATTTATTTTCCGAAAGCTTCAACAAACATTAATTGTAACAAATTGCAGTGTCATTCTTTCAGCGAAAAATCAAATCGTTTTTCTCGGCATGTAACTCAAGCCTCCCGTCGTCAGTCTCTCTTATCTAACGAATGAATGAGAAATATTTCAGCGGCAGCAAAGTGCAATTAATTAATGCACATTGTAGTGTCGCTTATGCCACCATGTGACTCAGAGTAACCACTCAAAGGAAGTTGAACTGATGGCAGTTATGAGGCCTTGATAAAATGCCAAAACTGATGGGGTTACCGTGTTTCCGAATGCTTTGCACTTCATTTGGAAATGGCAATTATGAGGCGCCCATTGCCAGGAATTGTTTTGTGGGCGAGAGAGAGAGGAAATCCCGTTACCTCATCGCTCAAATCCGATTTGCATATTCATGAGAGCTTTAATTAAAGCTGTGCCGCCGCCGCCGCCACTCGAGGGCACTGACTGAGGACTGACGTCAGTCGGCTATGATTTCTGGTCTACGGCTTATGGTTCTCCTCCGCGTCTCCTTATGCTATGGAAGGCCCCTCGGGGATAATCGCAGCCAGGCCGAAATCAAAATTGTGCACCCAAAATGCCGCAAATAATTTAAAGGCGATTTTCCTTAGCCATATTGATTGGCCAAATTTGATAAATGCGACGGGCGAGAGAGGTTGTTGGGCTTGGGAATGGTTTTCCCCTGACTTGGCTTAGAATGTTGAAGGTAGTAACGGTATTGTGAGTGGGTCTTGGAATTGTGTCAGCCTTAAAGTTAAATTTAAATATAAATATACTTTTCCCTGTTTTTTGTTTTTAAGTATCTCTGAGTGTTTATTTACTTACCTCATCCACCCAGCTTTTGTACTTCTCGGTTAAGGTGATTTGCTCTAGCATGGCTGAGCCTTGATTGGTCTTCCAATTCCCAGTGATGGATTTGCGCCTATTCAGGATTAAAAAGCGAAAGCATAATGAGTACCATAAATTAAATGTAGATAATAAGATGAAGGAAGAGACAGAGGGAGATCTTTGAACCCTTCGCCACATTTTGGCCGGCAAACAATGAACTCTTGGGATAATTGCCAATTGCCAGGCGGCCGCTTTTGTCTGCTGACAGTTTCATTCGAAATGGAAATCAAACTCAAGGTCGGACCACTCTCGACTTTATCCCCACCAATTCCCATCCGCATTGCTGTCTGCGGTTGGCTGTCTGCGGTCACTTACATAAATGCCTTGTAGTTGTTGCCAATCTTCTGGATGTGCACACTGAACTTGGCATCGATGTAGGGCTCGATGGTGCAATAACAATGCGAATCGTTGCCGGCACCGCTCACCAGTCCGGCAGCATCTTGCAGGGCGCTCTGGTTCTCCAGCCGGGCGGTGGCCACTCCGCCGTGGCAATGTCCAGCCTTCAGCACGCTGGGGAACTTTGTGAACTGGAACTGCAAAAAGCACGGAGAAAAAATTATATTTCATATATATTTTTAAGGAAAGAAAGGAAGCAAATAAATTTTAAGAGCCTAGAAGCTCAGCTCAAATTATTTTCCAGTACTTGGTTACATGAATTAAACCCTGATTTATATTATCCAACTTGGAAAATATATTTCAAATATTTTTAATTCATTTATCCAACCTTTTTTCTGCGTGATAAATGCAAGAGACGGAGGCAATCTCAATCAGCATCTCGCTGTCTGATTTGCATTCTATAAATTACAATACATCGATGATGGCACTCAAGCTCTTTAGGTTTTTAAATTTATTTTTTTTGCAATTTTATTTGCTGCGGAAATCAGGGGTACTGATTATTACGAATCCATTGGATAAGTGCCAAAACCACTTTGTGTTTCCTCTGTGTTTTGTTTTTGGTCGACTTCCAATCACGAATCTGGCCATGGAAATTTCTCTTTGATTTTCCTGACCATTTCCCAGAATTCCAACGTTAGTCAGCCTGTGTACTATATTTATTCAAAATTCATTCCACTTTATTAATGGTGTATGCAAAATTGCTATTAAATATGTAAAGCTGCCAGGCCCTGTTCACATTTTATTGATGTAACAACCGTCTGGCTCATGGCTTATTATAGTATTTAAACATGTAAATCGACAAATGATTACCCGTGTTAATCATCTCTCCCAGAGCCCTCATATTTAAACAGCTGATAAATCACAAGCACAAACACATGGGTCTTATGTCGTTTATTCAATCAAAATAAAAACAAGAATTCAGAAAGCAACAGAGGAAAACCATAACAAACCATGACGCAGCCCGAAGAATTGTCGCAATTGCCGACGAGAGACAAGAGATCGTGATGACAGAATAACACACAGTCGAGTGAGAGAGAATTTCTCAATGAAATATCAACGATGGATGTGGGTTCAGACTTACTATACTATATAATATATATGTATGTATGAGCGGTGAGACGTCACACCCCCGCATAGCGGGCATTCTTGGAAGCTGCTACGTATTCCGCTTGAGTGGCCGCCGTCTAGGGGCCTGATCGGTCTCCTCCTGGTATTATATCAGCCAACTTAAAATATGCACTGTGACGCATCCGTAACGCCCTGCAGCGGGTGGCTGCAAAAAAGGGGGCAGGGGTTATGGACTGAGTTGTGCTCCGGTTGAGTGAGCGATATACGAGTGCAAAGAGGAAGGGCACTGAGAGAATGTGCAAGTTAAGTGAGCTTTAAATAAAGTAGTTCTTTACAATTGTAGGTTTTTAAATTAGTTTATGTGCAATTAATGTTTATACTTTGTTGTAAATTTTTTAGATAATTTTTTGAGGTGGATGAGACAATTATATGTCTTAAGAAAAGGTGCCTAGTCCTAACTCTTGGGTGCCTAAAGCATTCTGCTTGTTCTCAGACTCGACCCATAGGTGTTAAGAAGCTAAAAACTAAGGAAAAAGATACCTTCTCCATATTTTCTATTCTCTAAAAACATTACAACAAAAATTTTTAATTTAATCATTGGTTAAATAAACCTTAAATGAAAGAATTACATTTTTTTCTGAATTTTTTAACTATTTTTAAAGGTATCTTTACTTCTTCCTCTCTTCTCTCAATCTCAATTTTATTTTCCCAAACGTTTTTTATTTATATTAAATATTCCTACATTTTCTCCCTGTGCACATCTCCGTTTCGCTGGCGTTAGCCGGCAGCATGGATAGTATGCAGATTATGGCAACGTGCTGTAGGTGGAGCATGGAGTATGAAGCATGACATGACCAGTGCGGGAGCCGGGAGCAGCACGTGTGTGCGCCACATGGTCGTGGGCTATCTCACAGGGGAATAGGAAGTGGTCATAGGAAGTCGACTGCGCAGAGGCAACATAAGCTAAATTATTAGTTGATTTGCGGCCTGACAGATGCGCTATTTTCTGTGGTTTCGTGCGGCGATCTCTCTTTAGCATTTAGTTGTGGCGCCATGTATCTACGAGATACTCTCGTACTTTTATGCTCTCGGCATAAACCAGACCCGTGCACGCAATTAATAAAGCTGCCAAGGTAAAATAATGCACAGAAAAATGCAATCGCCCAGCGTTTCACTCACTTTCCACTCATTTGTGGGGGAATTTATGGGGGTTTTGATCGGCCGACCGACCGAGCGATCGAGTGGAAGCACTCAAAGTCTCAAGACCCGAGCAACTTGAGTGAATTCACTAGCCGTTCGTTCGTTTTCCGATTTCGTTTCGGGTTCGTACCTCTTCACTTCAAACTTGGCGATTCAGTGCAGAACCGCAAGCGCAACGAGCTGGAAGAAATCAATTGTCGACGGAGAAGAAATAAAAACGCGATCGGGAAGCCTATATAAGATCAAGTGCAGTCGATTTATGCGAGTGCCAGTGAAATTACATTCCCGAATTTAAATATCATTTCTGTGCCATCGGGTTCAAGTGTCCAAACAGCCCAGGAAGTGTACATACTTTAACTCACTAAGGAGATATTGAAAAAAGGTAAAAATACAGAATTGTGTTTAATATTTATAGAATTTGTTGTACTCAAAATTAAGTGAAATATTTTAAAAATGCTGAATGAAAGCCTTTAACTTTAGAATATTTTCAAGACCTTAAAATTAGTGTTTATTCTTTTCTTATAAAAAAAAATTAAATTATTTGCCATTCCTAAAATATTTAAAATTAATTTTTATAAAAGTTATGAAGTGATAAATGAATATAAATGATTTTCTATTTAGGTTCTTCTTGAAATAGGTTCTAGTTGAAATATTTCTACTTCTCCTCATTTTACTGTCTTTTATAGGCCCAAAAAGAACACATTTTCCACCCAAACAAGTAGCTTCAAGTGATTTAAAAATACCGTGCTCTGTTTATTTAGTTTTATTCTAACTTTGAAAGTTGTTTGTAGCAAAACTATTGGCATTTAGAAGCCTCAAATCGAAGGTATGCAAAACGCGCGACACAGGCGCGACATGCGCGCGTTTTTCGGGCTATTTAAAACGCGCGCGCGGGGAAAAACTTTTTATTTCGTTTTCATATGTGACGATGCTGACACAGCGACACAGTTTTCCAACCCAGAACTCACACACCCACAAAGCTGCCTCTATTTATTTGCGTTTATTTATAATTTGTTTTTATTTGCCTGTTTGGAGCTAGCCGAGTTTTCTTCTTGCGCCTCTCGATTCGTCTTAATAGTTTTTAATGTCGCCAATTTGTAAACAAACTGCAGCCATTAAAAAAAATATACACAAGTTGACTGGTTGTGCAATCGTAAAGCCCGTGCCCGGTCATATCAGTGATATATAGTAACTATAAATATACATATGTAATATTTGCTGGATGTCAAGGAAAGTTCTGGCCGAGTGGGAGGTATTTCCATATTACGTATACGTCATGTGTGTTTTGGCATTGGGCATTTAATTTCTAAAAATATGAGCAAAAACACATTAAATGTATTGGCTTTTGCCTGTTTTTCGTTGAAATACATAAACCTATAAAATATTTATAAGCGAATTCCCAAAGGGGAAGAAAAAACGGTGGGAGCCGCCACGGGGGAAATGCGTGAAAATGCATTTCAAGTGCTTTTCCATTCCCCCTTTTCCTTTTGCTTTGTTGCTTTCCATGACATTGTTTCGCATGGATATTCATAATTTTTCCTTCATTTGACTTTGGCTTTACTGTTGGCTTTCCAGTTGTTTGTGTGCGACATTTAAATGAGCTTGTATTTGTATTGCTTTTCTGGGAAATGTTCGGCAAATTGCTGTGCTGACTTTTATTTTCACAGCATTATCAGTTGGATAGTATGGAGGTGGTAGTAAGGGGGTGTAATTCGAGGGTATTTCTAGGGTATTTTAATGGCTTTTTGAAACTATTTTAGGGCACTTAAGATGTTTTTATTGTAACAAAATAATGTTGTTTTTAAACTGATTTATTCTATTTATCTTAGATAATATAAGCTCTTAATATAGCATAGAAAAACCCTTTTTTTAGGGGAAATGTTTCGGAATTTCTGTCATACAATTATTCTCTTTATAATAAATAGTTTAAGCTCTTTAAATTTCTATGATTTTCTTTATTTTATTTTATATTTCGTGCTACTTTCCTTGCCGATTTTTATGTTCAATTTTCCATTGTACATATCACCATATGGCGCCTAAAATAAAACCCATAACCACAATAGCTCATTGTCTGAAAGCCAAAACCCGGTTACCTATTTCAACAATTCCGAGAATGTAAATTCGATCAATGCGGTGGCTGCTCTACTAAGATTTCGCGCTAAGCCCAGCCACAGCCACAGCCCCGTAAAAGCCGCACAAAGTCGGTAAATAAAATTGTCACAACGAATGATTGCGATTGTATTTGTGACTTTTCCCTCGCACATCATTCAATTTGCCATATTCGGCCAGACGCAGGCTTTTAAAGCCCCCAAAAAAAAGTAAGTTGCCTTATACGGCCAACGCTACAGATACTTGGCATGTACAGATACATTTGTTTGGGATTGTTTATTCGGACGACACACCCACTGCTGGCTGGCTGGCTGGCTCATCCCCAGCACAATCATAATTTTTGCTGTGCAAATCTTGCAATTAAATATTATTGTACAATTAAGCAGAAATCGGCGACAAAGAGTCTTTGGTATTCCTGTCCATTAATAACATTTCTCCCTCGTCTTTATTATTTTTATTTGCCCGCTTTTTTTCCACCCTGCTGCAGTTGTGGTTATTGCGTAAATTTCTCAAGTCAGGCGGCAATTTATCGACAATAATTTCTTTTGAGACAGCAAGTTCCCCGGAGGTTCCTTCAAGTTCCTCCAAGTTCCTCGAGTTTCTCGGGTTCCTCCAAGTTCCTCGATTTGTGTGTGGGCCACGGGCCTTCAATTTGTCCGATTGTGTCACTTGGCGGGGCTGTCCTTTCCTTAATTTCCTCGACAAGATCTGTCACCCGGCGCGACTTGAATGGAGCGTGGAATGCAGAAATAAATCATTC